ATAATCTAAACAAATAGAATCTAAATAATCCTAACTAATGAGATCTTTGACTAATCTTATCAGCCCCCCGCAAGCTCATGGGCAGAACAACAATGAGCTTGTCTCGAAGTTGAAGAAAAGTCTTCGTAGGCAGAGCTTTGGTCATAATATCAGCAATTTGGGCAGCGGACGGAACATGCTGAATAGTAAGAGCTTTTTGATGAACCAAATCACGAACAAATTGAATGTCAATCTCAATATGTTTGGTGCGTGCATGAGATACTGGATCAGCAGTAAGGTAAATAGCTCCTAAATTATCACACCAAAGAGTAGGAGGTAATGAAGACAAACCAAGCTCACGGAGGAGAGAAGAAAGCCAACATAATTCAGCTGCAGTAAGAGCTAGACTGCGATACTCAGCTTCGGTACTTGAACGAGCAACAGTCGGTTGTTTCTTAGCACTCCAAGAGATGAGATTAGAACCCAAAAAAATGCAATAGCCGGAAGTGGAGCGGCGGTCATCAGGGCAATCAGCCCAATCAGCATCAGCAAAAGCAGTAATTGAAAGAGGGGAACTCTTTGTAAGATGTAGGCCATGGGTAGGGGTAGAACGTAGGTAACGTATACGCTTAACAGCAGACCAATGAATATCAGTGGGACAATGGAGGAATTGAGACACTTTATTAATAGCAAATTGGATATCAGGACGAGTGACACAAAACCAACAGTACGCCGATACTCTGTAGGATCAGATAAAGGTACACCATGATTTTTAGAGAGAGGTAAGGTGGGGGTTATGGGGGTAGAGACGGGTTTGGATGTGTCGAAGTGAGTGCGAGTGAGGAGATCTTGAATATACTTAGATTGAGAAAAAAGAAGGCCGGTGGATGTAGATTGAGCTTCAATACCCAGAAAATAATGAAGAGAACTAAGATCTTTGATGGTGAAGGTAGAATGAAGCTCATCAATGAGAGATTGAATGAAGGAAGAAGAGGAACCAGTCACCAAGATGTCATCCACATAAACCACGACAAAAGTAGTGTGTGAGGACTTAGACAAGAAAAAAAGAGAAGTGTCAGATTTAGAGGAAATAAAACCAAGAATATGAAGTTTCTGACTAAAACGGTGAAATCAGGCTCTAGGAGCTTGTTTGAGACCATATAAAGCTTTGTGAAGACGACAAACATGATATGGATATTTTGGATCAACAAAGCCTGAGGGTTGACTCATATATACGTCCTCATGAAGATTACCGTGGAGTAAGGCATTGTTCACATCAAGTTGACGGATTGGCCAATTTCGATTAAGAGCAATGGTGATGACAATGCGAATGGTAGTGGGTTTGATTACCGGGCTGAAAGTATCTGTGTAATCTATGCTAGGAGATTGATGGTAGCCTTTAGCTACTAAATGAGCTTTATAGCGCTCAAGAGTCCCATCGGATTTTCTTTTAGTTCGAAAAACCCACTTACCACCCACAATATTAGCATTAGGAGCAGGAGAAACTAGAGTCCAGGTTTGATTAAGTTGAAGAGCATTAAACTCCAAGCATAGCTTGACGCCAGTGAGAAAATTTATTGGCCTGAGTAAAAGAGGTGGGGTCAGGTTCAAGAGGACAAGTAAGAGAGGAAGTATAGGTAACATAATCATTTAAACGGTTAGGCTTACGAGTTGTGGTACGAGTTGTCATGTGATGTCTTGGTGATGGAGGTGGTCTAGGGGGGGGAACTAGATGGTGGTGGAGGTGGTCTAGGCAGGGAATTAGATGGTGGTGGAGAAGAAAGCCTTGTTGAAGAAAGAGTTTGTGTCGTAGGATAGGAAAAACGTACAAAAGGAGGAGGAATAGACATTGGTAAAGGAAGCAACACCCGTGATGATGAAGTTGGAGAGGACGTAGAAGTTTGAGACGTAGCATAAGGAAAATCAGTTTCAAGAAACCTTACATGTCAAGAGATGTAAAGTTTGGAACTTTTGGGATTAAAGCAACGATATCCCTTGTGTTGGGAAGAGTAGCCTAAAAAGACACAAGGAATTGATTTTGGGGATAATTTGTCAGCACGAGTAGACCCAAGAAATGGGAAGCAAGTGCACCCAAATACTCGAAGTTGAGAGAGGGAGGGAGGATTGGAAAAAAGAACCTCATGAGGAGATTTATTAGTAAGAACTTGAGTAGGAAGGAGATTGACTAGATAGGTGGCAGTGGAAAAAGCTTCAACCCAAAAGGATTTGGGAAGAGAAGCATGAAGAAGAAGAGTAAGTCCGGTTTCTGTGATACGACGAATTTTTCTTTCAGAAACTCCATTTTGTTAAGGAGTATGGGGACAAGAGATGCGATAAGAAATACCATGATTACGAAGATAATTAGCAAAAACACCTTTCACAAGTTCGGGAGCACCATCACATTGAAAATATTTGATACTAGTAAAAAATAAATTTTCAGTAAATGACTTAAAATTTTAGAAAGCATGAAAGCATCAGATTTATTAGTAAGTGGATAAATCCATGTAAAACGACTAAAGTCATCGATAAAAATAATAAAGTACCAATAACCTAAAAGAGAGAGACAAGGACTTGGACCCCAAATATCACAATGAATTAAATGTAACGGTACTTTAGAAACACGAGAAGATGGAGTAAAAGGAATTCGAGTACTTTTACATTGCAAACAGGAATTACAAGAATTTATTTTGAAAGATTTAAATGACAAAGATCGAGCTAAAGATGAAAGAGTTGAGTGACACGAATGTCCGAGACGGTGATGCCAAAGATCAGGAGGAACAGCACGAGCAGCCAGAGCTACAGGATTGTGGAATGTCTTAGGAATCTTCATAGGATAGAGGTAATTGTAGATGTTACCTGCGAGAAGTGGAGTCTTGGTGACTAGATCCTTCACAACATAACCAAAAGGAGAAAATTCCATTAAACATGAATTATCAGTGACAAATTTTTCAACAGATAAAAGGTTTGTAGTAAGCTGGGGAACAATGTAAACATTATGTAAATAAAGAGGTTTTGAGTGCTTGGTGAGTGCAGTGTGACCAACAGAAGTAATATGAAGAGTAGTACCATTAACCACTTGCTGATTACCATGATATGGAGTGGTAGAATCCACTAAAAGAGGATCAGGTGCCATATGAGCTTGGGCGTCAGAATCAGGAAGCCATTCAGGGATGTTACTAGATGTAAAGGATGAAAAGTCTTGAGGCTGGGGTTCTTGGACAGTGGAGGTGTGAAAAGCAGTGGGCATGTTTGTGGGAGCAGAAGAACGATGAGTTTGATTATTGCGAGATTCAGCGTAGCGGAAAAGACAAACATTAGCGGAATGGTTGAATTTTTTGTAGATTTGGCATTGGGTAGGATTGGGTTGTTGGGTAAAGTTGGGGTAAGGGCTAAATGATGAGGTATAAGGCTTATAGGGAGTAGAAGGATGGGTGGGGAATTGGGCTTGGTTTAGGCGATTTTGGATAGTGTTGAAGGGACGGTGTGGACCGTATGAATTGGGGTTGGGATAAAATGAGTGCGGAGTTGAGTTATTAGGAAAGTAGAGAGATAGTTGACCACGACCACGGCCTGAATTGAGTTGTGACTGTTTACCACGAGACCGAGAACTATTGACTGGAAAGTTTACAGTAGTATGGACTGCAGCTTCTGATGAAGGCAAAAATGATTGCAAACGTTGCTCATGGAGAAGCAGTTTTGCTCGAAGATCTGTGAATGAGGGATGAGGGTTGAGATTCTCTATAGTGGTGATGAAGGAAGTATATTCAGATGAGAGACCATTAAGAGGAGAATAACAAGATCATGATCAGGGATAGTATCCCCAACAGCAGAAAGCTCTTCCGCCATAGTTGATAATAAAGTGAGAAAATCATTGACTGTGAGAGAACCTTTCTTAAATTGTGAATTTTTTGGCTTAGTTGCAATCTACGCACTGTAGATTGTTGAAGAAAATGATGCTCGAGTTTGATCCAAAGGTCACGAGCAGAAGGACACCCCAATGCCACCGATGCCATTGAAGACGACAACGAGGCAGTGAGACAACATTTGACAAGGCGATCAAGTTTTTGCCATTGAAGAAATTCTTTTGGAATAGTAGAATCAGGTGAAGAATCTTTTGATGGTAAAATTGAACCATCGATATAACCATTGAGATCAGTGGTAATTAAAATTCCTTCAACTTGATCTTTCCAAATTAGATAGTTGGAATTATCAAGAGATTCAGTGATAAAATTTGTGATATAGGAGAGAGGAAATGATTGAGTAGTAGTGAGTGATTGTGAAATAGTCATTTTAAAATAATGGTGATTAGAGTAAAAGAAAAGGGAAAAAAAGTAAAATAAAATAACGTGTAGTAGTATGTGAAATAGTGTGTGCAATAGTGATTTTTAGAGGTAATCAGTGGTGGGATAATGTGAAGAAAAAAAATTTTAGTGCAGGATCGATTTTGCTCTCGATACAATGATGAGAAATAAATTCATGAAAGAAGATAAAATCATAAATTGTATTGCATGCAGCAGTACATTACATTGTCTCTATTTATGTATACATCAATATTAGTTAAGATCTAGATATTATAAAATCTGAAATAATCTAAACGAATAGAATCTAATAATCCTAACTAATGAGATCTTTGACTAATCTTATCAACTTTTATGTTGCTTGGATAGGCTTTGATTACCAAAATGTGTATAGTTTGAGTAGAAAACTTTTGACCATTAAGATCTTAAAGGCTGTTCAACTTACTGAAATAAAATGGGAGTGCATATTCTTGAATAAGAAACATCACCTGAGATAAAAATATGTCTTTAGGGATTGAATATTTCTACTTTTTGTCGTTGTGATAGTAATATTGTTCATTTGTCCTAATTTTTTTTTTATAAAAAAAAAAACCGAAAATGAGTTGAGTAGCAAAGGATCCCATGAACACCATAAATGATAACACAAAATACAGAACAAACTGCTCCACAACTGAATATGAACACCATTTGTTAGTAGATTAATTAGGTTTTCTGCAACAGGGTTCAAGGGAAAAAGCTACAATGGAAAATTAGAATCTTATGAGCTAATGCATTTTCATTTGAGCAGAAGTTACATCTCTATAGAAATAAGTAAATACACATTACTGTCAGTCAGTATATGCTGGATTTGAACAACCAAACCCACAAAAAAAAAAAAAAGAGAAGAAGAGAAGTGGAGCAAGAGATAAAAGCTAAACCACCAAACCAACATTATAATTACAATTGCTATTGGTGCCTCTGCAAGTTAATTAACTTGTAGTATGCTCCATCTTTGTTATCTAAAAGGGAAGATTGAGTCCATTGTTCTACTATTTTCCCATCTTGTATCACAGATATTTGATCTGCATTTTTAATACTTGACAGTCGATGGGCCACCATTATAGTAGTCCTGTTCTTAATCAACCTGTCTAGGGCTGACTGTACCAGCCTCTCTGATTAAACATCCAGAGCACTGTTGGCTTTCATCCAGCAAGGACCGTGGTATTCTTTAGTACAGCTCGAGCAATAGCCACTCGCTGTTTCTGGCCGCCTGAGAGCTAAACACCTCTTTCGCCTACCTTTATTGAATAGCCTTCAGGAAGAGCGCTGATGAAGCAATGTGCATTGGCAAACTTTGCTGCTTCGATCACTTCACTCTCTGAGGCTCCATCTTTACTGTACAAGATGTTTTCATATATTGATGTCGCGAAAAGAGCTGGCTCTTGTGGAACAAGCCAAATGTGCTTCCTAAGAGACTCCAGTCTTAGTTTCTTGACATCTTTGCCTGTAATTTGGAATGATTAGTGCATGTGTAAGTTGCAGTGAATTGGAAATTGATTATTTTCATTTATAGAACTCACCATCAATTATGACCTTCCCAGATGTTGGATCATAGAATCGCATTAATAGGGAAATCACAATGCTTTTACAGAATCGCTCTACCCTACTAATGCCATACTTCTGCCTGGAGATACTCTCAGATTGAAGTCCTTAAAGATTAGGACATCTGGTCTTGAAGGGTAGCTAAAGTCCACATTTTTAAGCTCAATCAAACCATCTACCTTTGCTACATTTTCTCCAACATCACCGAACACTTGAGTCTTTCTATCTAGAACTTCAAATACTGATGCCACCATTTGGTTTCCTTTCAGGAGATCCAGTGCCATTGCAACTATTTCACCCATGGCCAAGGCACTAACACTCAGAATCATGAATGATTTCATCACTGATTTAAAGATTGCAAGTCCCTTTCCCATCAGTTCAGAACCATACCTGCATAAAATGTTTCAAGACTAAGCCACATTCCTATTCACAGTTTATCCGACTGCCAAAGATCAATAGAGAAACATACCACAACGCAAGACCATAGCACGAGAAAATGAAAAAAATGAGAGATTCCATAAAGTATCCTTGCAGTCTGGCCACGCCTAAATGGACATTTGGCAGGCTCACGAAGCTGTTGAGCATAAAGATCCAGCACTTTCTCCTCGGAACAGAATGCTGCAACAGTTCGGATTTGCTAACTGCCTCGCCGGCCAGCATGTTGGCCTTAAGGTATGCTTTGCTCAAGTTGCCACCATAACCATTCATGAAGAGTTTCTGAAATACAGAATTCATTTAGTGAATTGTTGTTATAAGACTTCTTCCTTTACTACCAGTTTGGAACAAAATAGATATCAACCTCGCTGATGTGACCTCTGACGATTAATGGATACGTTGCCAAGACAACAAATGTGAGCCTCCAGTTCAAGATGAAGGCTATGATGAATGATTTAAGAGCCAAACCAACATTTTGCAAGAGCATTGTGGTGCGATCAACAACCACATTTCGCAGCAAAGTTGCATCACTTTCTAAGCGCGAAGCGAGCATTGAACTTGTATTGTCCATGTTATCAAACCAGCCGATCTCATTTCTCAGAATTGCTGCAATCAAACATGAGTAACTCAATCTTTCCAATTGACGGTCATAAAAGCAGAAAACAAAAGCAATTGAAACATTCTAAAGCAAATGAGTTTTCTGTTGATTCACCACAAGGTTTGATTAAAGAACAACGAAGAATCATCATTTTTTTAATTACCAATGGAGGATGGGGAAAATCATTTGAAACTAATTCAACCAACATTACAATAAGGTTTATGGAAAAAATCACAAACATGGTATTCTCATCCATTTTTATCCCTGTCATCTTATACCAATTTATTGTTTCCATGGAGAAATGACTTTAAGATAAGAATTTATATTTGACTTACTAGTGAACATCTTTTCTCTCACCCGAAGTGTCAACCGCTCCCCCATGATTCCAAAACAAAGGTATGTTATGGCATGAACAATGACAGTTATGACAGCACCTCCACAGAAAAGATAAACAATCTTCTTGACTTCATGCCGAGTTGTGTCCCAGTCCATGTAATAAGATACCAGAGCCTGAGTAAACCCAAGAGCAAAAAGAGGTATTTATGCATCGCATATAAACACATAAATGGTACCAAAAATCCCATGTATCCAGTCAGGTCCAACCATGTAGTACAGTCTCCTAAAAGGAATTTTGCTTGATTCGACAAAATCAGCCCTATCAGCTCCAAAAAGGCTCATTGATTTATCTGAACGAAAACTTGCACCAAGAATTCCTGTTATTGCTGAAGATAGTTCTCGAGAATATCTAATGCTACATTCGCCGGGATACTTGAAACTAGGGAATCCATGGATGAAAAGATTAGAAACTAGAGCCAAATGACATAATCAATAGATCATATCTATCAGCTTAAAGACTAAGCTATGGGAAAAAACAATCTGTAAGCTAAAATGCCATTAAGCAGCAAACTAGAACAGTCAAGATTGTGCAAAGTTCAAAAGATTTCTAAAGAGGATTACGTGTGACACATCCAAACTCAAGGGAAAGATGTTGTGTAATGGAGTACATAGGTCAGTTCCAGAGGGCCATAGCAGCTATTAACAGACTGATCTTTTTTCCAACCCTTCATGGGAGATTTGATTATTAGAACTCTGAATAAATGAGCCTGGGAGTGCAGCCCGTCAACAATGCACCAACACCAAGATTAAGCTAATTGAGCATGTATACTTGGAAGCTCCCAAGTAAGGGATTAAATCACACGAGGAGTGAAGCATGAGGAAGAACAAACAGATTGGATGTTATAAACTGGAAATGTCAACAAAGAAATAGCAGCATCTTCAAGAAAAGAAATAGGTTGTATCTTACTGTTGAACTAGAAATATCACCAAGTAAAGCATCGTTACCTGAGAGGCCGAGCTAGGTTTGGTCCACGTGAAGAAAGGCGCTACAAAGAAGCTATTTCCTGAAGTTGCACTAGAGAAGCATATGCTCCATTTGCCTTTGTGATAAGCTCTTCATGGCTTCCAGTTCCTACTATCTTTCCATTTTGAAGAACAGCCACAACATCAGCACTCCTAATGGTTGAAAGGCGATGAGCCACAATGAGGGTGGTTCCTACCATCACATGTTCAAGAGCTTTCTACACACTCTTCTCAGACTCAGCAGCAAGGGCACTAGTTGCCTCATCCAACAGAAATATGGAAGGGCTCTTCACAATGGCACATGAAATCGCAATTCTTTGTTTTTGTCCCCCAGATAATTGAACTCTTCTCTCATCCACCTGACAACAAATATCTGTTAACCTAGTTCTGAAGATTTTTACCACAAAAGAATGTTGTGTTTTCGTGTAGGCTATCTGAGTTTCAAATCTGTCAGGAAGGTTGTTGATAAAACTCATTGCCTCAGAAAGCTTTGCAGCCCTGGTTATCTCTTCAAATGTAGCATCCTCTTTACCATAGCAAATATTTTCTCGAATTGCTGTAGAAAATAGGGGATGCTCTTGATTTACCAACCCAATCTGCTGTCTAAGCCACTTGAGATCAAGATCCTTGATATCAGTTCCATCTAACAGTATTCTTCCTGACAAGGGATCATAAAACCGCTCGATCAATGATATTACAGTGGCCACAGTTTTCTTAGGAGGAATATCCAAACAAATTTTGTTGAAAATCACTACATCAGGACAGGAAGGATAACTAAAAGTGACATCCTCAAATGTGATGTGTCCCTCCACTTTATCCAGGGTCCTTCCAGTCTTGAAGCTGTTATTGCTGACGGTATTTCTTTCAATCATCTCGAATAAGGGATATGCAGCTGCCTTTGCCCGGCTAAATGCCGTGATATCTGGTGCTGCTTGCCCAGAGACCTGGTTTAGAAACAAAAGCTAGAAATGTTTCCATTGCTTTACTATATTGAACAGAAACCACAGATTTTCCATTTCTATGTCAATGTTCAAGTTAACTTAATAGTCAAAGGACACAGAATATGGACTAGTATTCACTAAAATAATCACTAACATCAGTTGACAGAGTTTTAGGAAATGTTTCCATTGCTTTACTATATTGAACAGAAACCACAGATTTTCCATTTCTATGTCAATATTCAAGTTAACTTAATAGTCAAAGGACACAGAATATGGACAAGTATTCACTAAAATAATCACTAACATCAGTTGACAGAGTTTTAGGAAAAGTAAGTATCAACAATGGCATAAGTAGTGATGATATTCGCGGAATCTAATTGCGAAAAAAAAAAATACTTACAAGCCAGCAACAACCACATTGAGCATAGTGGTGAAAGAGTCTCCTCCATTGGCAATGCTCTTATGAACAATAATGCTACAAAACCAAACCAGCAACGCCCATGACACAAAAAGCACAAAGTGCAGAGTGCCTAATCCTAATCCCTCGGCCAATCCAGCTTTCTTCCCATAACTATACGTGCTCAACAGCGCCGTTTTGTAAGATTGAACCGCTCGATCCGCTGCAGCGAAAGCTTGTACTGTTCTCACATTCACGATCACCTGTAAATTAACAGAAGTAACAAATATCAAAATGAATCATTCCTCCAATGTGCATCAGGTGATCCCACAACTTCTTCTGCTCTTCCTAGAGTTCTCTGATAATGTGAATCTTAATGCTTTTGCTCACAGTCCCATCAATGTGTGATATCGGAATGTGAATAATTTGATGGTTAATAACGTGAGATAAAAAAAAATAGAGACCTTTTCGGCGATTTCGCCAGCTTTGACATAGGATTTGCGTTACAAGAGTGATCTGCCACACTCCTATGAATCCGATGACAAATCCGGCAATGAATCGGCTTATGTAATGCAAAAAGTTTCCCACCTGCAACCTATTCCATTTCAATTCAAAACTCGCGCCAAATGTAGCCGTTATATAGTTCCACCGAAAAAAAAATTAATACTAAAGTTATTTCAAATTTTTGCGTTATAATTAGGACCAGAAAAAGTACCATGAATTACTAATCAAGATGAGTTTTTTTTCTCCTAAGAAATGAGTCAAAATTTAGACTTGAGCATAATTGGTGTATTTTTTTTTATTTAAAAGAAAACTTAAAACAAAACCATAATAATATATGGGATAAGGACAATTACTCCCCGAGTTTTGTCCCAAGCCCTAAACTCCCCGAGTTTTATCAAAGGACAAATATTCCCCTGAGTTGTGTTAATAAGACCAAAACACCCCTTTGACACAAGAAAAGACTATAATGCACTCAATACGCGTTGGGCCCAATTTTTTTTCTAATTTTGTCTTCTTTTTTAAAAAAGTTTTTTTCCTATTTTATTTAGTTTAATTGTTTTTAATTCAATTTTTTTATTTTTTTAAATTTTTTAACTTTATTTAGTGTAATTTTTTTTAGTTTTGTTTTTCTTTCTTTTCAAATTTTTTTACTTTCGTCTTTTAATCCAAAAATAACTAGAAAATATATTTGATTTTACCTAAATTTATTCAAGGTTTGTAAAATTAAGTTTGCACGTGTAAAGGGATGGTAGATATTTAGAGTTTAAAGAAAAATGACAGAAGTAGCATGAAATATGATTTCACAAACCTGGAATAAATTTAGGCAAAATCAAATATATGTTTTTTGTTTACTTTTGAATTAAAAGATAAAAATAAAAAATTTAAAAAGAGAGTAAAACTAAACTAAAAATAATTAAACACAATAAAGTAGAAAAAAATTAAAAAGAAAAAAAATAGAACTAAAAATAATTAAACTAAATAAAGTGAAAAAATTTAAAAAAAGAAATAACACCTGCATAAAAAATAATTAATTTAAATAAAATAAGAAAAATAATTTTAAAAAAGAAAGAAAAACAGAACTAAAAATAATTAAACTAAATAAAGTAAAAAAAACTAAAAAAAGATAGAGAACTGTATTAAAATAATTAATCTTTAAAAAATAGGGAAAAAAAATTTAAAAGAAAAAATCGGAAAAAAATTGAACCCCGGGGCATTATAGTTTGTTTGTATGTCAAAGTGGGTGTTTTGGTCTTAAGGACACGACCCAGGGAGTATTTGTCTTTTGATAAAAACTCAGGGGGTTTTAAGGTTTGGGACAAAATTCAGGGGGGTAATTGTCCTTATCCCATAATATATTGGGGGCTACTGACCTTTTCAGAAATAGCATCTTGGACAACAATGACATCAGTGGTAACTGCTGCAATCACTTCACCAGTAGACGCTTCAGTGTCAAAAAGGCTAATGTCTTGATTTAGCATAGCCCTTAAATACGCCATTCTCATCTTTGCTGCTTGCCTTTCTCTAGTTTGCATCCAGCATGCCACCTCTATAGTCAAAAAAATCATCCTCAGATATTAAAATTATTTCGGGACAGAAGGATTTATTCTTATAAATTACTCCTATGTCTAATAAAGGATCATTATAAATTGTAAATTTGTACTATTTCTATCCCAAAAAACTAACTAAATTGAATTTTGATATTTATACAAATATTTCCCCTTTCCCAATGATTGCCTAGTGAAGATTTTTAATTTAGTAAAACTTGAACTAAAACTAAAAATTCAAAATGCGAAGTGCTAACTCTGAGACTTTGCAATTTGATCCAGAGATAGAAAGAACAGCTCGTGCGAACAAAAGGGAAGCTCCGGTGGAGGAAAGTTGCAGCAGCGGTGATGGAGGTCAAGGTGGTGGCCGGCGGCGGTGAACAAGGAAACAAGAAGGTGGATGGCGGGGGAAGTGTTTTGCAGCCGTGAGGGTTTCGGTCAAGTTCGGTCCAGTCCTGTTGTAAAAATAAATCCCTAATCCTCCTTTTATAGACTTCCGTCAAAACCCTACTTCTTGAAGAGCAAGAAAACTTGTTTCCCAAATAATATCGGGATTAAAATTCTTATCCAATTCCAATCCCAAATCAGCCGCACCATCATCGTTTGTTTGGCCAATTTCCAAAAACTAAACATACCAAAATTGCATCATTGGCCCTCCAATTCTCTAAACTCATTAATTTCTTCCCCATCAATTGCTCCAATCTTCATTTCTTTCCCATTGAGTTGCTTTTAATTCGATTTTAGCTCAAAACTTCAACGATTCCTCCAATTGAGTACAATTCCTACAATTAAAGATAAAATCACATAAATAGCATATTTGTACTCAAAATATATTGCAAAAATCACAAATTAGGGATATAATAAATAGGTAAAATATAAGCATATCAAATACCCCCAAACTTGAATTATTGCTTGTCCTCAAGCAATCCGAAACATTAAACAAGCAAAAACATTTATTTATTTAATTTGGCGGCCTCAGAGATTCAATCACATCATATAACACAAAGATTTCGACTACCTCTAGTATGGACTACCTAACAATGCAAACCATAGCTACTTTTAGCCCCCATGCTTGTGTGTGTGTGTGCTTCGTTTCTTAGGGACATCACTTTACATTTAACATAGAAAACAACAGCTCTACTGCAAATATGCCATTTTACTTTAACAACAGACTCACATTTCATATCATATTTCAATGCAATGGACCACCAGACATGCTATGAAGTAGAAGGACTTATCTCACAGACAACCTATTCCCCCTCGTAACCCATTCTTCGGTCCATGTGGCTTTTCTTCAGGACTCTTTCCAACTCAGGCCACTACCCAGAGCATTTTTCCACTCCTATACACAGTGGCTCAGCAACTTAGGGCAGCCTACATATCTATTTTTCCTCACCGGGCCTGAGGACTTTCCGCTCAGGTTGCCAATTCTTCACCTCTCAATGGGCTAGCATCAACATTGAATGCTCTTCCTTTTCTCCCTCATTAAAATTTACCTAACCTCAGAAGCATCCGCCAACACCCCTCCCCCAAACTTACTTAACACAAAGTGTCAAAGCAATAAGGTTTTTTAAGGCTGATACTGGGTTAATGCCTTGCTTTTCCTTCACAACATGATGGGTTTCACATACAAATCATATAAGTATGAGTGAATCAAACAACTTTCATGGCATATCTACATCAAACTTATGCAACTATATCTCACTTTAGGTTTATCCCACAATCATGACTAAGTGCGTAAAAAGCAGGGTATTCAAAGCAACATACAGAAATACATAAGTTAAGCAATATAATTAAAAATAGCCTAATTCTTACATGTTATAGATAATTAAACCATCTTCATCATAGGCCTTTTTGGATTTTTCAAATTTTTTTATGGGTTTTTTATTTAAGAAAGATAAACACAAAACGCATTCCTCTCCCCCACACTTAAAGCATACATTGTCCTCAATGTATAAAACACAAAAGACACACAACCAAGTGTAAAGAAAAGAAAAGACAAAAACATAAAGAATAAAAAGAAACAACTCAACCTTAAGAATGCAAAACAGAAGACCAGAATTGTTGAATAAACTGTTGCAACTGCCATCCAAGCACACGACCAACTTCTTCAGACTTTTGGATGTTTCATTTTCAGCACCACTGGACACCAGAGTTTCGCCCGTCCAACAAACCTAATTGCAAACTAAAATAAATTAGAAAATTAAACCTAAACACAGATGATTAAGAAAAACCACGAAAATCCAGAAATCAAAGACCTCCAGATAATCAGGAACAAAAAACTTAACCATCAACTTATTAATGAAAGAAAAAAAATAAAATAAAGCAAAATAAAGAATTGGGTTGCCTCCTAATAAGCGCTTCTTTAAAGTCATGAGCCGGACTATGTGGCTAATCAATCAAGTGAACTCTCAATCAAAGAGTGGGAACCCCTTTGATACATCATTCTTCTTTTGTCTCCAACTGCACCTACATCACTGATACACTTGTCAGGAGGGTCATTAAAATTAGCAATAAACACATCATTTTTATCTGGCTCCTTAACAGAATCTACTCTAAACACATGATGAGTAAATGCAGGGCATTTGTAATTTTCAGAAAAAGTGAACTCCACAGATTCTTCTCCAATATGAAATTTTAAACTCCCTTTTTTAACATCTATAACAGCACCAGCTGTGGCTAGAAATGGTCGACCTAAAATAATTGTCACATTAGCATCTTCTTCCATATCTAACACAACAAAATCAACAGGGATATAAAATTTCTTCACTTTTACCAGCACATTTTCCAAAATCCCTTTCGGATGAGTTATGGACCTATCAGCTAATTGCAAAGTGATGTTAGTTGGTTTCAAATGTTTCAACCCAAGCTTTCTACAAACAGATAAAGGCATCAATGAAACACTAGCACCTAAATCGCATAAAACTTTATCAAAACAAACATCACCCATAGAGATAGGAATAGAGAAACTCCCTGGATCACTCAATTTTGGAGGCAACTTTCTCTGAATGACAGCACTACACTCCTCAGATAGTGCAATTATCTCAAAGTCGTTCACTTTTCTTCGATTGGAGATGATCTCCTTCAAGAACTTCCCATAAGCCGGAATCTGAGCTAAAGCATCTGCGAAAGGAATGTTAATATGCAATTGCCTAAAAATTTTCAAAAATTTCTCAAACAACCTATCTTGCTTGGTCATATGGAGTCTCTGTGGAAAAGGCACTGGTGGAACATAAGGTTTAAGCGGTGGTGGGACATTTATCTTTTCTTCCTCTTGTTCCACTTTCTCCACTTTTTCTTCATTAATCTGCTTACTCTCTACTTTCTTCTCATCAGTGGTCTCATTCACTTCAGTGGTCTTTGGTTCCTCCTTGTCACCCAACTGCTTCCCACTTCTCAACATGATAGCACTACAATTTTCACGAGGGTTGATTTCAGACTTGCTTGGCAGTTGACCTTGCCCACGAGTATTCATGGTGGAGGCCATTTGACTCACTTGCATCTCCAAGGTCCTATGAGCATTACTCAATTGATCTAACCTTGTTTCTATTCTGTTAAACAATTCAGTGTTTTCACTCAACAATTTCTCCATTCTCTCCAAACTTGCCTCCATTGCTGACTTAGGTGCAGATTGGTATGACTTTGCTTGGAAACCCGGAGGGTTTTGAGGTCTTGCATTAAAGTCTTGAGCCCCTTGATTATTCCAAGAAAAGTTTGGATGATTTCGCCAACCAGGGTTGTAAGTATTGGAGTAAGGATTGTTCTGTTGCTGAGGCTTACTGAAGTTAGAGACATATTGTGCACTTGCCACTTGCATACATTCAGAGCTCAAATGAAGAGCTTCACAGAATTCACAGACAGTGGCATGGAAGACTGCATTAGCATTTACAAGATTACCCATCGCCTTGGTCAGTGCATCTATCTTTGCGTTCATGGCACTTAGTTCATTAACTTCATACATTCCAGCAGGCTTCTTGGAAACACTTCTCGAGTTCGACCATTGATTCCTATTCTTTGCCATAATTTGAAACAATTCATAGGCATCATCAATTGATTTATCCATTAATGAACCTCCAGCTGCAGCATCCACATTGTTTCTTGCAAAGTCTGTCAATCCTTGATAGAAAGTTTGAACTAGAGTACTTTTCTCAATACCATGGTGAGGATATCTTCTTTGTAATTCCTTGAATCTTGTCCATGCAGCATGAAATGTCTCATCATCTTCTTGAATAAACCCAGTAATTTGATTTCTCAATTTCGCTGCCTTATGTGGTGGGAAGAAATTAATCAGGAATTCCTTGTACAGCTCATCCCAAGTTGTGATGGAACCAGGATCGCAAGTATTCAACCAATTCTTCGCTTCTCCCCTCAATGAAAAAGGGAAAAGTCTCAGCCGGATTGCATCTGACGTCACACCATTTATCTTAACAATATCACAGATCTCTAAAAAGTTGTCAATATGCGCATTTGGATCCTCATTGTTAAAACCGGAGAATTGATTCTGCTGCACCATCTGGATCAATGCTGGCTTGAGCTCAAAGGTATTCGCAGCAATGGTAGGCCTAGTAATACTTGACCTCGCAACATTCTCCGTAGGAGTAAAGTAATCCCTCAGTGTCCGAGTGTTTACTCTGTCGCCCATGGTTTCACTCTGATTCTTCTCTTTTCTTAGTAATAAAGAGAATAGAATGCCTCGAGGAGTTCTTTGTGTTAGTGAGTTCCTGATTAGCAAGGGGAAGCCTGTGTATGCCGAATTAGGAGGATGGCATCTAGATTCTCTTATTTGAAGGTGAAAAGCATGTATTCTCTTATTTGAAGGTGAAAAGCATGTATTCTCTTATTTGAAGTTGAGAAGCCTATATTGCCTGTCATGCAGGTCTTTGTGGGTCGTGCCCATCGAGTAGGTCTTATTTAAACCCGGTGCCCGTCTAGCGGGTCTTTCGGTTCCTTTCTGATGCAGGGTGGTCCCCAATGCCTGATTTGAAGAGTAGCCCCTATATGTTTAGATGCTCAATATGCAATAATATGATGTATGTATCAAAAAGATATTGTCATATGATATAAGTAATATGCTTATAACAAGAATAGCAGTTTATAGGCTTAGATTCGAGAAGCATAGTTAGAAAAGATTTGAGAAGTACCTCGGTTTCGAGTTAAATTGATTACTCGAGAAGGTGTTACCTCGATTCTGAGAAGGTATTATTTGAGTAGATGAAAGTCGATATACGTCTTCTCGAACACTTCGAGTAGTAGTATGGTGCTCGAGGGATTGTTGCCTCTTCGAGGAGATGTATCTCTCGAAACTCTAATCTTCGAGATTTTCCCTTGCTAATTTGCAAAATTTTAAAATCTTGAGGGAGCAAATTATAATAATTAAATTATTAGAATTAAGTGACAATTCTCAATTTGAGGAATTGTTCTCGGCTGAATATTCTGCCCCTTTTGACGGATTTTGAACTCCAGGGACTGTTCTTCTCAAATTTTTTGAGTGATCTTCTAGTTGCAAAATTGGAGCAACGAATTAACACCGTGACTGCCAAAGATACAAAAGATTCTGTGCTTCGTTAAGAAATTTATTTGGTTGTGAAGACCAAATAAATCGGTCCCACTGGACGTGCCACTTGACGAAGCATGGATCTGGATGGTGCTTAGGGAGGGTGGCGATGATGATCTATGTGGCGGCGGACGGCCTAAAACCTGCAAGACAGAGCCTTGGGTGTCTTCCGAGGGTAGACTCTCCGATGCTTAAATCAATAAAAGAATAAAAAGAATAGAGAGAGAGAGGGATGTGTATCGTGTGTAGAAGGTGTAGAAGATGTGTATTATGGGAGAGGCACCACCTCTTTATATAGAGGTGGGTGTTACTTGTTTCTTGAAACCCAAGCGGAATAGGTTTAGGCGGTGGCTTAATCTCCAAGTAACCTAATCTTAAGTCCAATGGGCCTAGAGTTTATTTTGGACTCGTCGGCAAAGAAAATGAAGAAAATAGGCATAGAAGCACCATGAATACAGGCCCCAATCGAACCCACAAACATCAACATGTAATCATATCCATCTGCATAACTAAACAGCTTCAGAAACGAAACTGCTTTCTCGGGCTTCTTCTTTTTGCTTTCTTTTCAAGCTTTATTATTATTATTATCAACTGATGATGATCTGATATCTCCATAGCTGGATGAGACCCTAAAACCTTAGTGATCATCACCATCATCTCCCCTACCCATATTATTTATTTATTAAGCACTCAACTCAAATTCGTATTATATTACATCTGTGTTTTGAGATGAGAAAGTAGAGAGTTTGAATTTTTTTTTTCCTTTTTGTAGTATTATTATTATATGATGATTCAAGAACCCTAATTAATGTTTTTGTTGTTAGGGATGACAGTGTTTGTTGTGAGCTCAATTGTCTGCACCTGTGTTGGTACTTATAGATTGCATATTGATCTGATAGTGTTATTGTTCCTTTGAGATTTTGATCTTCAACTAAGCATGATTAATGTTACTCCCCCGTCCTACAAAAATAGCTCACATTGAGTTTTGAGATTTGTACTAAAAATACAAATCTCAAAACTCAATGTGGGCTATTTTTGTAGGACCGAGGGAGTATTAGTTAGGAAGTGGTATGGAAAATAAATACAATGAAATTGGCCAGCTAGGATAAGGGTTATTTGTATCAATTTGGCTTTTCTTTCCGGTGTAAAGAATTTCAATCCTTATATATTAAAGGAGGAGAATTCCGAGAGAAAAATATTTCCAAGACACGTGCCAAATTTATAGGGGACAGTAAAAAAATTGAACTTCAAAGATATGCTTTTTACTACGATTATTAAATTTTAAAAGTTAAACTAATTGATATCAATCCACAATCTTTTGGCTGATCTTATCTCAATCCAAAAATTTACGAGATCTTGAACTTCATATTATGGTAGTTAGTATTACACGCATACGCACGTACGATACGTATATTAAGGATTTCGATATACATCATGATAAGTATTATAATTATTTATGTATTGATTAATTGGAGATACGTACGTACGATACATAATATATTTGTGTATCGTATGATACAAAAATATAGACAAAAAATAATTTTTTTCTTAAAAAATTCAGACTTTTCTTTCATAATAACCATTTAAATTTCAAATTAATAGCGAATTTCATTTACAAATTCATTTTAAATATATACTTTTGATTTATTTCCTTCACAAATAACATTTTTCAATTGAAGATAAAAATTGCTTAGTAGATTATTCTAATTCAAAGTAAAATGATTAAAATATTATTTTATTGGTAGTGTCATTGTTTAAATTAAGTAATGTTTCTAATAATAGATATTATGAAAAATAATATTTATTACATTAGTTTTTGCAACCATTATTCATGTAATGAACGAGCAATTTGTGTAACTTTTCAATTAATCTTGAATTCAACTTGATAAATTTATCTGTTTATATATATTATTATATTAAAACTTATCTTACGATACGATACACAACACGATACACATATCATGAATTTAGGTTTTCGATATACGAGCGATTCCTATGCTTCAGATCACTAACAGTCCAATTCATCCAAAAATACTTTGCCCTTTTTATGTAGAGATATCGGGAGCCACCACTTTTGATGTCCGCGCCTTTGCTTTCTACGAAAGGAGCGTCGGGCTCTTATTTCAGCATGAGGATCATGGAGGTAAAATTCAGATGGATACTGAACCTTAAAACTTGATCATGATGGGTAAACATCGTCCACCGAATTTAACAATTGGTATTTGTCTTGTTATTATTGGATTAATCTGTAGCATTTTGATTTTGATTTTTTTTTTTTTTTGGTTGAAATATGCAATGCATTCACCACGCCAGGCAACAAAATCTTGGAGGCTCAGGATGCCATTGGCGTCGAATTGTGCTACCTGATTGGATCTTGCTCTGAAATCCCAAGGCCAGAAGCTAGCTTTTAAGCAAACACCTGAAAATGCTTCATCTCCCTTCCATTGATTTCTACAACTGTTCTTGCAGTATATGATTATCTGCCATTTTGATTTTTTTTTTTTGGGGGATGAATAGTTTCTTAAGATTCAATAGATAGTAACTAGACTATGACTTTTTATGCAATAGCAATCAATTGCCGATTAGATTTCTACTTGTAAATTATAGCACTATGGTTTTTGTTTTATGTTCCATGTAAATTGTACACTTTAAAAAGAGTTTAACAATTTGTGATTAGAGAAAGAAATGGATGTCCAGCAGGCTGAGATTCATCTACACACTGAGATGATAGAATGCCAACAAGAAGTCCCCAGCAGACCGGCTTCAGAGTCTGCAATGATCCAGGTGATTCTTGATGCCGTGGAATATCCTGAAAGGGTTCACTTGATAGATCTTAGAATCAACAATCCCATTGGACTCAAATTATTCAGCATTTTGATGTTGGAAATTCTCAAGATTTTGTCCGTTGGAAGTTGTAAAGTCTTAGAATGATTGTCCGTTGGAAATTCTCAAGATCTTAGAATCAACAATCCCATTAGGTATGATTGTCCATCTGAAATTCTCAAGATTTTGTCCGTTAGAAGCCGCAGGAAAGCGGCTGTCATAGTGATAAAAAAACTTGAACTTGATCCTTGTGCAATGTGTTTAATTTTGATGTATTTTTGAGTGTCTGGTTTGGTGTCGGGTCTTTCTCGAGTCCAGGATGTCCCTGGAGTAGCAGGATGGATACATCGCATCCTTTAATAAAACAATCAAAAGAACAGGCAGAACAGCTGAGCCAGCTTGTTGTTGAATTCTGATTTTCTGAGTATGTTCTGCAAGTAGGTGAACATTATTCTCTCTACCTGCGGGCACGTCTCTGGCTCAACAAGGTTGCTGCTATTCCTGGACCCAATATCAGACTAGCAAAAACCAGCCAGAAAAACATAACCATCAATTGAAATCTATGGGGAGTCATTTCTTCAATATGTTTGGGAGAATGTGTGGGATTTCAGTTGTGCTCTGAGGTAAGAAATGTGCAAATCTTTTTGTGCTTAATTGGGACAATTAGTGGATAGATTGAGTTGTGGTAAGAAATGTAAAGAGATGTTGGTGAATGTGCAAATTGAATGAATATCATATTCAAATATCTGAGCTGCATTTGTCTATTCCTTCTTTATTTCCCCTAACTTGTTGGTGGGATATGCGACTTTATTTTGCTTGCTCAGTGGATTATTGTTTAGGGTCCAAAATAATGTTGTTTGCCTATGCACTCCACTTCTTTTTTTTTTTTTTTTGTCATAATTAATGTAGAATGTTTCATATAGAGATGCTTTGAAGTCTTGAAGATATTATTAGTGAGATGTCAATATTGTGAGTACTTTCTTAGACAATTAATTTCTCAAGTTTTCTTTTTTTTTTTTTGGACAATTTGTGCATATATATCAAAATCCACGCAACGTGTAGGATAAGCACTAGTATTTCATAAATGGGAATTAGTGATAACATTGGTGGCGAATTATCATAAAGTTGTTGATACTACTTACCAAGACTAGATATTGTCAAATTGCTAATTAACTTAGGAGTATATTCGAGTCGAGTAGTGATATACTTGAACTCAAGTTCAGTCTCAAGTACTCAAATTCGAGGTCGAACTTGAAGATTTACTATAACTACTCGTGAACACTCGAACTCGGCTTGGTTCGTTAACTAAGGCAAACAATAGCAAAATTGATCTCTCAAAACAACCTTCCACTACATGTCGATCATCTCCCTTATCCCCGTAACCAAACTATAATAGTAGAAAAATCGATATTCATGATTTTTAGCGTAATTATGAGAATAAAATGCTTGTAATTTGATTTGATCGGATGATTAAAATATTTGGTTCTAAGATGTTTGCGTATACAAGAAAATAGCTCATATCCAATCTAACCCTATTTACTATTCTAGAGGTTCAAGAAAAATAATTAAAAATATAGCGCAAGACAAATCTTAGAAGTTAATAAAAATTAATTTTTAAAACAGAATAAGTATTAAAGAACATTAACAAGTGCATTGTCATTACTTCTCTTACATATTTTACGATTCGGAATGCTTTTTCTGATTTGATTATCAAATGGTAACCATTTTTTTACATTGAAGAGATTTTCAAACAATATTGGAAATTATTGTTTAGCATTATACATAATTATGTTGCATGGTTTAGCAAATACTTCTTAATATTATTTACGATTCTTATTTGATTTTTTCTTCCAAGATAGTACGCAATTGTTAGTGGCAATTTTAGCCTAATAATTATGCAATTTCCAAACAATATTGAAAATTATTATTTATCCTAATAATTTTTAGTGGTAATTTTGTCTCTATTTTTTTTTCCCCCCATGAGGCATGTTTTGTCTCCTATCGACAAAACTCAAACATTAGTTTTAAATTGATCGGTAATCAACCAAGTCTAATAGTATTACGTACATTTGTTCTATGTAGAATCATGATTACTCGTGAAATTATACAAGTTATTATATTTGTGTTCTTTTCATTCCGTGTGTCATTTTATTATATATTTCAAATCGTGTTTTCCGAAACCTATAACAAATATGCCACCAATGAAGCGAAATTTTGAGCACTGGTGTCAAGGATAGACAAGTATAATGTGCAAAATGGGACTTATTAAGATATTGAGATGAGATTTTTTGCCACAAATAATTTTGTTTTGAAAGAAAGTAGTTATCCATGTAGTTTGATGTCAATTATTACAGCGAAAGAAGACAGTTAAGAAGTTGAGGGTTGGAGTGTGTTTTAGTGAATAGTTTATATTCAGAAATAAGTCCTATATTTAGCTGATGTTCCATACATGTCTTCCTGGCTTTTTGTGCGTAATCCCTAATGAGATGACATCCACGTGAAAATTTTTCATTGATATTGTTAGATAAACCATTATATATCTCTTTTACCAAAAAAAAAAAAAAAAACTCTAAATCAATACGCTACTCAAAAATCTAGTTATTTATTCAGTTAAAAAGTTTTTAAATCCAAGTAGTAAACAAAAATTAGTAAATCGTTGCCAAGGAGTATTTTAAAAAAAAAAAAAAAGCCGACCTATAAGTACTATTTTTATGGGTTTCAAAGATACTACTATATAAGATTTAACCCAAAAAAAAAAAAAAAATTCGACAACTTTATATATATATTTTTTTCCCCTTAATGATAAATTTCATTTCAACTTCAAAATTTGGCTCACAACTTTACATCAGAGTTCACTTTGTTCCTACATACTTTAAGGCTATTACATCAGGAAAATGAGTTGTACATGTACAAATTCAGAAATAATACGAAATTTCAGTTCAGTCCAAGTTTCCGAACAAATTTTCTTGTCTGCTGCTTTCATAACATCCTTTCTATCTACACTTGATATCCTTTTTAATGTTTGAAAATACAGCATCCACAGTGAAGACTTTCTTCTCAAAGATACTACAATTTTTCCTTGTTTTCCAAATATAGTATATTCTTGCAGCATCAATAGCAAACAACAACAGTCTCTGTTTGGATTTTTATTTTTGGCCATTTTCAATCCTGCAACAGTTTTTTTCAGTATCTGCGAGCCAACACTTTTGCTTGTAGTCATGGCCAATCCCCAATTTTCCTCCTCCAATCATCAGTAGATGAACATGAAGTAAAGAGATGTTCTCAACTTTCTTCCTAAGCAGCACATAGGAGTCCTCAGTCGTATGGTGATTCATCTTCACCAATCTATCTCTGGTTAGTAAGCTACTCTGCCAGGCTAACCAAGTGATAAACCTATGTTACATAGAGGATTATTAAAAAAAAAAAAAAAAAAATTGCTATCTTAAAAATTGATCATGTTTGTTCATGTTTTGTATTCTTAATGAAGATTATTAATTTATAAATTATTAATTTAGAGAGATTTTTACTTAGATCAAGTCTCATTACTTGTTTAATTAGCATCTAGAGATTAGACTATCCATCAAGAATTTATCTAATAACATATCTGGAGCAAAAAACATACAAGGCTATAATTACATTGTTATTAGAAAAATATATCACTTATTTACCTGACTTACTTAGTTCTACAACTTATGGGAAAAAAGGACATTTCTGAGTATGTCTCATCAAGGGAAGAAAAGCTATTATAAAAATAAAAAATAAAAAAAAAATCAGAATCTTACTTCTGAGATAATGGAATGTTTTTATGTGAATGTTGCTTCATCTCTACAGAAATAATTGAATACACATTACAATCGTTACATGTTGGAAATGAAAAAAAAAAAAGGACCAGCCAACAAAAAACAACTCACATGAAAAAAGAAAAGGAAAAAGAAGTGGAGTAAGACATGAAACTAAACCAACATTATGACTGCAATTGCTGTTGGTGCCGCTGTAAGTTAATCAGCTTATAGTATGATCCATCTTTATTCTCTAAAAGGGAAGATTGAGTCCCTTGTTCCACTATTTTCCCATCTTGTATCACTGATATTTGATCGGCATTTTTAATAGTTGACAATCGATGTGCCACCATTATAGTAGTCCGGTTCTTCATCAACCTGTCTATGGCTGATTGTACCACCCTCTCTGATTCAACATCCAGAGCACTGGTGGCTTCATCCAGCAGAAGGATCGCGGGATTTTTTAGTACAGCTCGAGCGATAGCCACTCGCTGTTTCTGGCCGCCTGAGAGCTGAACACCTCTTTCGCCAACCTTTGTCGAATAGCCTTCAGGAAGAGCACTGATGAAACTATGAGCATTTGCAAACTTTGCTGCTTCAATCACTTCACTCTCTGATGCTCCATCTTTACCATACAAGATGTTTTCATATATTGATGTCGCAAATAGAGCTGGCTCTTGTGAAACAAGGCCAATGTGTTTCCTTAGAGACTTCAATCTCAGTTTCTTCACATCTTTGCCTGTACATTTGTAAATATTAGTCTATGCAAAGGTAATATGGATTGGAGGTTGAACATTTTCATTAATAAAACTCACCATCAATCATCACTTTCCCTGATGTTGGATCGTAGAATCGCATTATTAAGGAAATCACAGTGCTTTTACCGGAACCACTCTGCCCTACTATAGCCATACTTCTGCCGGGGGAAACTCTCAGATTAAAGTCCTTGAAAATCAGGACATCTGGTCTTGAAGGGTAGCTGAAATCTACATTTTTTAGCTCAATCATACCATCCACCTTTGCTACATCTTCTCCAACATCACCTAAGATTTCAGTCTTCCTATCTAGCACTTCAAATACTGAAGCCACCATTTGGTTTCCTTTCAGCAGATCCGGCGCCATTGCAAGTATTTCACCCATGGCCAAGGCACTTACTATCAAAACCATGAATGATTTCATCACTGATTTAAAGCTTGCAAGTCCCTTTCCCATCAATTCAGAACCATACCTGCATAGGATTTTCCAAGGCTAAGCCACATTCCTATTTCGCTAATCCAGATGTCAAAGATCAATAGAGAAACATACCACAATGCAAGACCATAGCACGAGAAAATGAAAAACTGAGAGATTCCATAAAGTATCCCTGCAGTCTGGCCACGCCTAAATGAACGTTTGGCAGGCTCACGAAGCTGTTGAGCATAAAGATCTAGCACTTTCTCTTCTGAACAGAATGCTGCAACAGTTCGGATGTTGCTAACTGCCTCACCGGCTAGCATGTTGGCTTTGAGGTATGCTTTGTTCAAGTTGACGCCGTAGCCTTTCATGAAGAGTTTCTGAAATAGAGAATTCATTTTGTGAAATGCTATTGTAAAACTTTTTTCCTTCACTACCACTTATATGTACAGAAGAGATATCAACCTCGCTGATGTGACCACTGACGATTAATGGATATGTCGCTATGACAACAAGTGTTAGCCTCCAGTTCAAGATGAGGGCAATGATGAATGCTGTGACTGCCAAACCAACATTTTGCAACAGAATTGTGGTGCGATCAACAACCACATTTCGCAGCAAAGTTGCATCACTTTCTAAACGTGAAGCAAGCATTGAACTTGTATTGTCCATATCATCAAACCATCCGATCTCATTTCTCAGTATAGCTGCAATCAAACGTAAGTGACTCAAGCTTTGTAGCTAATGGTCATGAAAGCACATAAAAAGGCAACTGAAACATGTTGTAGCTACTGAGCTACTGTCATGCTTCACCACAAGGTTTAAGTAAAGAATAATTGAGAAGCATCATTCTGTAACAAATGGAGGAAGCGGAGAAGCATTACTGAGTAAGACTAAAACCAACTGAAGAAAAAGATCAATGCAGAAAGTTAGAGACATGGTATGCTCATCCTTTTTACCGGTCAAATAAAACAATTTATTGATTTCATAAAAGAAAACGAGAATAAGAATTTATCTGTACCTTATACATTCATATAAAAATGGGGATAAGTGAAACAATTCTTGCATGGTATAGCATAACAAAGAAACTGTTCCTTCCGATATAGAGAGAGAGAGAGAGAGAGAGAGAGAGAGAGAGAGTATGTTTCAAACTTACCATTGAACATCTTTTCTCGCACTCGAAGTGTCAATCGCTCTCCCATTATTCCAAAACAAAGGTGTGTTATGGCGTGAACTATGACAGTTACACCAGCACCTCCACAAAAGAGGAAAGCAATCTTTCTTACTTCACGTCGAGTTGTGTCCCAGTCCATGTAGTAAGATACGAGAGCCTGAGTCACCCCAAGGGCAAAAAGAGGCATCTGCGCACCACATATAAATGCACAAATGGTGCCAACAAAACCGTACATCCAGTCAGGTCTAACCATGGAGTACAGTCTTGCCGAAGAAATTTTGCTTGATTCAACAAACTCAGCTCCATCAGCTCCAATGCGGCTCATTGATTTATCAGAACGAAAACTTGCACCAAGACTTCTTGTTGTTGTGCGAGATAGCTCTCGAGAATATCTGATGCTACTTTCGCGTGAATACTTGACACTATACAATCCAAGGACAAAAAAGATTAGAAACTAGAAGCAAATGACATAAGGCGATACCTATGTGCTTAAAACACTCAACTTTGAACAAGAATAATAGAAAAATAATCTGCTGCAAACTAGGACAGTAAGAGTATGTGAGGTTCACTATTTTTTGAAAAAGGGTAACATTTTGCATATTTGAACACAAAAGGAAGAGGTTTCATAATGGAGTTCAAAGCTCAATCCTAGAGGGTGGAGCAGCTGTTAACTGGGTGATCTTATTTCCACCCTACATTGGAGATTTGCTAATTTTGAACTGTGGATAAAGGAGCCAGTAAGCTTTAACTGGGGGTACAGATGTACCAAACACAATACAACAAAAACAAAGTTTGACCTCATAATAGTTCAAACATACTTGAAACTCCCGAATAAGGAATTAAAACAAACTAGAAGCAAAGCACGAGCAAGAACAAAGAAGATTCTAAAATGGGAATGTATAAACAAATAAAGTATCAGCATTCTCAATAAAATAAGTTGTATCCCGCTGTTGAACTAGATGTGTCACAAAATAAAATTCCGAGTACCTCAGAGGTCGAGACAGGTGGGGTCCATGTGAAGAAAGGCGCTGCAAAGAAGCTGTTTCCTGAAGTTGAACAAGAGAAGCATATGCTCCATTTGCCTTTGTGATAAGCTCTTCATGGCTTCCGATTTCTACTATTTTCCCATTTTGAAGAACGGCTATAACATCAGCATTTCTAATGGTTGAAAGGCGATGAGCTACAATGACAGTTGTTCTTCCCACCATCACGCGATCAAGAGCTTCCTGCACACTCTTCTCAGACTCAGCATCAAGGGCACTAGTGGCTTCATCCAACAGAAGTATGGAAGGGTTCTTCACAATGGCACGTGAAATCGCAATTCTTTGCTTTTGCCCACCAGATAATTGAACTCCTCTCTCACCCACCTGTCAACAAAGATCAGTTAACTTAGCTCTGAGGACATTCATCAAAAGATTGTTTTGCTTTCATCTTGCAGCAGTACCTGAGTTTCAAATCTGTCCGGAAGGTTGTTGATGAAACCCATTGCCTCAGAAAGCTTTGCTGCCCGGGTTATCTCTTCAAGTGTGGCATCACCTTTTCCATAGAGGATGTTTTCCCGGATTGTTGTGGCAAATAGGGCAGGCTCTTGATTTACCAACCCAATCTGCTGTCTCATCCACTTGAGATCAAGATCCTTGATATCAGTTCCATCTAACAGTATTCTTCCTGACAAGGGATCGTAGAAGCGCTCAATCAATGATATTACTGTGCTCTTCCCAGATCCACTACCTCCAACAATGGCCACAATTTTTCCAGGAGGGATATCCAAACAAACTTTGTCGAAAATCACTACATCAGGACGGGATGGGTAACTAAAAGTCACATCCTCAAAACAGATGTGCCCCTCCACTTTATTTAGTTTTCTCCCAATCTTGGAGCTGTTGGTGCTAAAAGTATTTCTCTCAATCATCTCGAAAATGGGATATGCGGCTGCCTTTGCCCGAATAAATGCTGTGATATCCGGTGCTGCTTGCCCAAGAGACCTGGATTAGAAACATAAGCTATATAACCACAGACTTTTCAATCTTTAGAAGACATTCCAGTTACTGGTAATAATACTGAATAGACACTCAAATTCGGATAAGAATCTATTTCCAAAATAAACTACTTAATCCCATATCATGTATTTTTTTGGACATGACAGAAAGGAGTAACAAAAAGTAGAGACTCACAGGCCGGCGATAACAACATTGAGCATAGTTGTGAAAGAGTCTCCTCCATTAGCAATGCTCTTATGAACAATAATGCTGGTAAACCAAACCAGCAACGACCACGACAGGAATAGCACAAAATGCAAGGTTCCCAATCCCAATCCCTTCGCCAGTCCAGCTTTCTTTCCATAGCTATAAGTGCTCAAAAGCGCCGTCTTGTAAGACTTAACCGCCCTGTCTTCTCCAGCAAAGGCTTGTACTGTTCTGACATTAGCAATCACCTAAAAAAAATACAAGTAAGATACATCAACTAGAATCATCCCTCCAATATGCACCACCAACCCATACCAGACTAAACTGCAAACTTCAAATTCTTATTCAAGAATTTGGCTTTCCTCAAACCCACAAATTATTTTGTCATTTCAATGTGTTTCCTGAAGTGGGTTTCAATTAACTTGAAAGAAAACATGCTTTTCGGTTGCAAATTCATGAAAATGAGAGAGAATAGAAAGACCTCTTCAGCAATTTCTCCAGCTTTCACATAGGATTTGCGGACTCTGGCTATTAGGCCAGTGGCGATATAAGCATAGACACCGCCGGCGAGGGCAATCAACGGCACAATAGACAGAGTTACAAGGCTGATCTGCCACACTCTAATGAATCCGATGGCAAATCCAGCTATGAATCTGCTTATGTAATGCATAAAGTTCCCCACCTGCATCAGTATTTCAATTCAAAAAATTCGCGCCAAAAGTGAGGTTATTCAGTTCATTTCAAACTTTAACGTATATATTCAATCATTCAATGAACTCCAAAAATTCTGATTCTTTTCATCAAATGGATTAATCTAAAAGAGATTAGTAAAATAAAGGACTACAATTGTCCACTAAGAAATGCACAATTTATATAAGTAGAACCTAATTCTTCTACCCATCATAAATTCTCCTCCCCGTTGATGTTGTATAAATTTTTATGTTTATTTTTTTTTGGGTTAATGTACAAATATTTTCCTATCTTATGTAATCTAACCAATTTTGCTCTCCGTCCCAAAAGTATAATGACGTACTCCCTCCGTCCCATAATTATTATCCACTTTGAATTTTCATTTTTAGTTCAAATTGTACTAAACGTGAAATTTTAAACTGGACAATAATTTTGGCAGAGAGGGAGTATTACATTTTTTCTGTCTTTCTTTTTTCTTTTTTTTCTTTTGACAGCATTCTATGTCTTGATTGTTGTACTTGGTTTTAGATAAAAGCAATTATTGAATGGGGTCAGTCTTAATAATACGACTAAAGTACCCCCCAAATGCCGGTCCAAGTTTTATGCCCAAAGATGTTAATTGATCATCCAAATTGATTGATAAGCATGTGGGTTCCTTCAAGTCACAGCGGCCCAATGGAACAGAGTAATAAAATATTAACCAGATAATTAGTTGGTCTTTGATCATTCACTATGGGCCCAAATGTATTGTGATTTAGATTTTCCAACTCCCTCCCTGAAAAGACTAATAACCATGGGCCCAAAGACTTCTATTATGACAAAGGTTAAAAGAGCTAAACACATTCTTCCTAGCATTTTTTTTTTTTTGTTCTCAAGACAGCCAAAAAAAAAAAAAATTAAAGAAATTAAAAAAAGAAAAAAAAATTTAACCAAAAATAAATAAAATGGAATGAATTCGAAATTTATCAAGAAGAGGATAAAAATAAGGGTTGAGGAGGGGAGACACTAATCTATTATGTGGACAAATGTTGTATCACATAAAGTAATATCATCTGATTCATGTGAAGTGTGCTACTAAAATTATAATACTCCCTTCCGTCAATTCTAACTTGTTTCTTACAAATAAGACATGAAGAACTTAGATAATTTTTAATTAGGGAGAAGTAGTATTAAATGTGGAAAATAGAGATGAAATGAAAGCAATAGTTATAGTCTATTGAATGGGGTCAAAGGCCACCGCTCTAAATCCAACCACACTGATCCAAAAAAAAAAAAGGCTTTGAAGCTTTCCACAGCTATAAATGTTAAACCGACTGCAATAAATTTCCTCCTCTAAATTCTGTTGGGATGTCAACAATTATAACTAGCTTTCCAGCCTGTTAGCATCCAGTCCCAAAATTTTATTGCCTCACTTTGTAATTACTATCAAATCAGTTTGATGGTAAATTTTTAGAATATACTACAAATAGTATGACAAGTGAAAGCAGAGAAGAAATACGTCACTGCAACGACTGTACCTCGTAAGATGATATAGTCAAACACATGAAATTTATTTTACGATTGTAAGACTAGTCAAATTGAAGTATAAAAATAGAAATAAGTCAAAAAAAAATAAAATATTCGACTTTTGTGTAATATTTTGTGAGTAAATAAAAATGAAATAGTAGTAAAATTTATGAGGGGGCCACAGACCTTCTCAGAAAGGGCATCTTGAACAACAATAATGTCGCTAGTAATGGCTGCAATAACTTCACCGGTGGAAGCTTCGGTGTCGAAAAGGCCGATGTCTTGATTTAGCATTGCCCTCAAATATGCCATTCTCATCTTTGCTGCTTGCCTTTCTCCGGTATGCATCCAACACGCCACCTCTATTAAATTAAAATGAACAAATCAAATTAATTATGATTATTAATATTCATTTGTACCCAAAAAAAAAAGAAGAAAAAACACAATTAACAAGGGAATTATACCTATCCAGGATGAAAACATGATGACCACACTCAGATAGACAAAATCCAAGGAATACTGCACCAAAATAAGATCAAACCAATTTAATCACCACTTGTCCCCAAAATGTGTTAACAAATTAAAGAAATATAAAACGATAAAACGTCCAAGCATATGCAATTACATTTGGCTCAAGAGGGTCGGGTAGAATGGTAAGGATAAAGCGTTATAATTATGAGATCGAATGCAATTAAACCCAAGTAAACAACTAGAGTTATTACATTAAGTTAAGATATTAACACAATTGATCAATCACAACAAATTACTCCAGTTTTGTCCGGGGTGAATCTGATTTGGAAAATCTCTACGTACCAGGGCAACTTTGTGAGAAGCTTCCTGAGGGAAAAGATAGGCCAAACCGATGATATTTATCATTTTACCGAAGAAAATGAAGAAAACCGGCACAGAAGCACCATGAATACAGGCCCCAATCGAACCCACAAACATCAACAAGTAATCGTACGCATCCGCATACGTAAACAGTTTGAACAAGGAAACTTTTTTCTGGGTTTTCTGGCTCTCTTTTCCGGCTTTTGATTCATTATCATCTTCTCGAACATCTCCATTGCTGGATGAAACTCCAAAAGCTTCATGATGATGATGATGATGATGATTATGAGGATCATCACCACCCATATTATTAATACACCAAAAAAAAAAAAACGGATTTGTAGTACAATTTAATTTGTTATGAGAAGAAGAAAAAACATTGGGTGGAAAGATGGAACTAATGGAGAGGATGGGTTTTTTTTTAAAATGAGGGGGGGAGGTGTGGAGGAAGTAATTTAATAAATGTATGTGAAACTGATGAAAAGAAGGGAGGAAATGTTACTACTAGTAGTAGTAAGCAGGCTAGTGTTTTTATGAATTTCAACAACCAGAGAAGAACGTTTGTGTTGTTAAGGGAGTGAGCGTTTGTCAGTATGTAACTGTGTGACTCTGTACATATCTGGTAGTACTTTTTTCGTCCCAAAATAATTATCCAATTTTTGCAATATTATTTTTAGTATAGCAAGCATAACAATCGTTTCAGGAGACTTTGGTTTCTAAAAGTTTTTACTTAAACTTAGAGTGATTAATGTGATTAGTTGGTAGACCGTGTGATGTGTCCCTTTTTGAATAAACTAGTATATGATAGTATTTGTTTGGGAATATGTCATTAAATCCTTTTCAGACATAATTTAGGTCATAATTGTACAGAGTGTGACATTTCAGAATGACGACTTATTTTGATGTTTTTGCGTGACTTTTGAAACTTTTTAATATATTGAGAGTAAAATGAATTGGCCAAAGTTTTAAATATGGATGGAAAAGTTAACTAACAAATTAATGATTAAAAAAAAACATCCTTAGATAGTGCAAATGTGAAGACGATCATAACCTTTCTAGTAGGTTTATATAAAGATAAAGATAGCAGCAATGCATTTACATATATATAATAATATGACATATCCTCTTGTTAACGTGTAAGCTTAGGCGTTAACAAGATAATCAATTTCACGTTAGTAAATAGTAAATATATATATATATATATAGATATATATGTGTGTGTGCTTACTTGTTGTAGTTTTAGATTACTGAAATTAGAGGGTTTGACCGAAATATCGCACTTGCCAGTTGCAAGAAGTTGAGTGCGTGATTTAACTATGAAATACTCCTACTACTAGGAAGGCAATTTAAATAGAGAGTTACTTTAAATCGTTATTAAAAATGTTTGGTACACTTGATAGAGGTAATCTGGTTTGTAATATAGAAAATTGGAGCCACCGATTGTTAGTACTTGTAGCCATCTAGAGAACTCAAAATTAATTAAGCTCATGCATCCTCAACAAGTGCTGTTATTTACACCTAGCTGGGTCAAGCCAGACACAGCATATTGAGGATTGAGGAATAACAAACGTTCACAAGTGGGAAAATGGGCGACATGAAGCTGGCCAGGGGTTAAGGCATGTTGAGAATTGGTGATGAGATTCTACTGCTATTTTTAATTGACAAAAATAGCCACAGAAAGAAAGAGCCAAGAGAGGATTGTAGGAAAAAAAAAAAAAAAAAACTGATGAATCATATTTTAGAGGAAGACGGTTGAGAAGTTGAGGGTTGAAGGGCTTCTCTTCTTCTTTTTTTTTTTTTTTAATTGGTTCAAATAGTATTTGTTTGTGAAAAAGATTTAATTAAGCAGGAAATAAAAATTAGAAAGTTGGGGGGGGGGGAGGATGAGGTTGCCATAAATGTTGGGACTGGCCATCTGGCAATACGTGGTATTGTGGGTATAATAATCCAGTAATGAGATAACCCCTCCTTCATTAACTGCAGCTGTTTCCATATCCACCATATCTCTATTTTTCTTCCCCTTCTTCCAATTTTATTTAAAAAATAATAATAGTAATAATAATAATAATAATAAAAATTTGTTGATGACTAACATTTGGCTTTAGTTGAAAATGTGTTGGGTGTAGTTGGTTTGTGGATTATTGGATGTTTTGCTTTTTTCCATTTCTGATGACATAATTCGATGATGTCTACTACTACTAGTGAACCGAATGTCTTCTTGTTTCTTCCCATTCCTTTTTTTTTTTTTTTGGAAATTTAAATTGCATTCATGTTTGATGTACAAATTCAAATTGTTTCTTCTCATTCCTTCTTTTTTTTTTTTTCTTTATTTGGGAAACTCAATCGCATTCATATTTGATATAGAAAATCGATTTGCTTTTTTTTTTCCCCTTACTAATTTACTACATGATGGATAACAATTTTCGAGGCTTAAGGAAAACTACAAAAATTCAAAGTTCAAACAAATGGTTAAAACTTAAAACAAAAGTAAGAAGGAATGGAACACGAAAAGTCTAACAAGAGTCGGTCTATATGGATTAATCATTCTCCTCCCCAAAAGTCTCTTGTACTCCCTTCAAATAATTTTCTAGTTTGAAATTTCACTACTAATACAAATCGTGTTAAAAATAAAAATTTAAATTAGATAAAAATCTTAGGAAAGAAGGAATATTTTAGTACAAAGGGTTTTGTAAAATTTCGGGATAACAAGATGATGAAAATTCATCAAAACTATTAGGCCTCATTTGGACAAGAGTTTTGAAAAGTTGTTCAAAACAGTCTGTTTAAAGTAAAAGTTAAAAAAGTAATTTTTGAAAAATAATGTATTTGGACAAGATTTTTTCAAAATCCTGTTAGGAGTTGAAAATATGAAAAAGCCATTTGGAGTAGGTCTTTTTCAAAATTACTTTTTGTTAAAAATAATTTGAGAACTTTTTTTTAAAAAAAAAAAAAAGAAAATCATTCTTATACAAATTGTTATTTTCATTTTTTTTTCACTTTTCCTTCCTAAATTATTATTTTATTATTCGCAATTGTATTATTCCAATATTTTCGTTTCCACACTTTATCTTCTAACATAAATCGAAATTATAATATAATTTTGAAAACCATTCTGACTAAATTGCAACATAATATTAAAACACAATATAATATTAAAACCATTCTAACTTATCAAATGCATAATCTCACATAATGCCTGTCCTCCTTGGTCAAACCAGAGAGTTCCCACCAAGATTATGATGATCCACCGCCTTTCTATGTAATCAAAATCCTTGACCACCACCTCCCCTTTTGCCCTTTCTGTCTTCTCTTTAACAATTGAAAGCTGCTTCCTTTTTCTTTTTTTGGGGGGTTACTGGTACTATATTTCTTCCACTACTTCACACATTTTTACACACTGCAAATCAAAACATAAGAAAACACATTGTTTAGCACTAATGAAGAAACACATGGATAAGAAATACAGATTTTGCACGACTCAAAGTTTGGAAAATTACACCACTTACGAAAAAGGCAGTAGAATGATTCAAATGTAGACTTTGTAATCAAAATTAGACTCTTAAATGGATTTTCAGAATCCTTTAAAATTCTCAGTTCTGAATTTTTAGAGCAATAGTGACCTAGTGACCATATTCGAAGAACATTTTTAAGCTAACTACTAATCCTTTTAACAAGCCATCAGAGCTGCAATAAACTAGGATAACCAGAGAAGAGTTTTACCAAAGGTAACCATAGAAGGAAGTATAAAGAAATAAGTCCTTCAAAACAATAGCTCAGACCAAATTTTCTGAAATTTTCAGTGATTTCTGAGTCATCTTCTGGACAAACCGTAAATCCATTTAACAATCCGAAAAGACCACATTAAACTGTACTCAATGGAGAAGAGTTTCTAAAAAGAAATCCTGGAAAAGAGTTAAAGACCAAAGAGAAATAGGGCTGTAAACAGAAGTGGCCTGGTCTGATTTTTCTACATTTTCAATGATAAACATGTCAAGTTCAAATCATAATTTCAAACAAACCAGGAGTCCATTTACTAATCTGTAAAAACCACATTAAACTAGATGAAATATAGAAAAAATTCATATCAAGAAATCCCAGAAAAGGATTCAAGAGATAGGAGAAAGAAGCCACTCAACAGGTGAACTCAATTCTGGTTTTTAGTATTTTCAGCAATGCAAAGTAAACATATCTCATTCCAGTTGGACGTTATTTCCGAACTAACCCTGGCTTCCTAAGCATCCATTTTATTCCCCTTACATTTCCAGTAAACAACATGACAGAGAAATGCTAAACAAATTAACTTATTTATATGACATAACAGAGAAAATGACCAAGAATATTTAAGGAGGAGAGGAAGAACAAAGACCTACTTATGTAGAAGTAGAAAGTCCCCATTCAATATAAATGTCAATGCTACCAGAATCCATCCAAAGATTACCAAGCAACAACAATGAAGTATGACTTCAGAGAATGTCAAAATCAGAAACCAAAGCACCTAAGTTTTGATATAGGAACAATAGACTATTTGGATGACAATATAGAAACAATGTTTTGATCAGATCACACTCACCAATGTACAATGCATTGCAGCCCAAAAATGGAGCATACTGTCAAAGCAAGTTTGCACAAACAAGATCCATTAGCACAAATATGAAAATCAGAACCCAAAAAAATTCTTTTGCCTATACGGCTGCTGATGATAATTGACAGACTTATAGTAACCGAGAAATGCTAGGACAAGCAAAGAAATAGAGAAAACAATCAATGTCAATCTCCTGAACCACAGTCAGAAAGTTTAATAAGAATACCAGTAACGATGAAAAATTGCCAAAATCGAATCAAAATAACAGAGAAGAGCTAGAATTAGTACATGGGATTCAAGTATTGTCGTATTTGATTCAACTACATAAGCTAGATAAATAGTTTCTTTCAACTCCACTAATCTATCAAGTCTAGAGTTTCCTAATCCAAGCTAATTGATGTTCACGTGACAATTGTGTTGAGTTACAACACTTGACTTTTCTGCTACTTTGAACAGATGAAGTTAGATTTTACAGCTGGTTTTTTTTGCTGTGAACCTCCATAGACTAATATTGAAGATTGGCACAGCAACTGATCACATAAACTTAAAATGCAGGTGTTCTAAGAAACCATTTACACGCCTTGAAATCCTTAGCATTTTTTTGACTCCATAGCAGGAATGTAATGCTGAAGGGATCCAGAATGAAAGTCAGGACAAAAATTTCATTAGAGTTACTGACACCTAATGCACCCTTTAAAGGCTTTAAGTGGTTTATAACCAATTTATTAACAAATTCTTAATCCTCGATTGCCACAAGCATAATTAAATTGAAAACTTCAAAATCTAATTAGCTGAAACCTAGAACAGCCATTTTAAAAGCACTCAATCAGGAATCACTCTTAAAGATCACCATTTTAACAGCACGCTCAATGCAAAACTTATCATAACGTTCTGAAACAAAGGAATCAAGAGATAGAAAAAGTCTCAAAACTTACTGAAAAACACTTTTCTCAGAGAGCAATAAATGAAATACCCCGGATTGATAAATCGAAATACATAGCAACGAAAAAGAAAAAAAAAACCACACATGCATAAGAAGTCAAGAGCTCAATCATCACACTGAAACCCATATCACAAATTTAACTCTTAAGCGACACTCATACACCGAACAGAATTCTAATCGCAAAGTGACAAAAGAAAATTTGAAACCCAAATTACCTGCTGAGCAGAGAGTGAGTTGTTAAAGCACTGATAAGGGAGTCCAAAAAATAAAAAAATGATCACAATAACTCCATCACAAATTCTGAATAGAAATTCATGATTAAAAACATACAGTGATTTGATTTTCGGTTTAGGGAGGTGAGGGTTGGTAGGTAACGGTTTGAGGGAGTCAGGATAAAAAGGACCGCCTAAAGGGAGTAATGTCTTTCGGTTTAGTAATTTGATTTCATATCATCAGAGGAGAGAAAGAAAGGGATAAGGAGAGAAGAGTGACGGTGGTTGCTGGATCGATCGCCGGTGCCGGACGGCTGAAGGAGAGAGAGTGAGAAAGGGGCGGCGGATCTAGGGTACGGCAGAAGGGAGAGGCCGGTCTTTTTCATTTTATTCATGGCCCGTTTTTTTCATAACCCGCTCTCGACCGGATTTTAGACCCGCGAACAGAGTTGGAAGAGTCTGTTTCAAAAATTTGAAAAATACCTCCTACCTATTTTCTAAAAAGTTTGTTTCAAGCCTTCTTTTTTTCAAAATGATGTTTAAAAAAGACCTTAATTATTTTGTCCAAATACATTTTAGACTCTAAACAGACTTTTTAGCCTTAAAAGTCTTTTTGAAATTCTTGTCCAAATGGAGCCTTATTGTTTCTTTTCTTTTCTTTTTCATTAGAATAGTTTCTTTTCTTAATTGATTGACTTTTTTAGATTTTTACCTTTAGTATTTTTTTTGCCCTATAAAAATAATTCCCATTGTAGTTTGTAAACTCCATTAAAATAAATATAATTTAAAATTATAATATGTATTATTTTTTTAAAACGAAAAAAATTATTTATAACAAAAAAAAATTTAAATATAATAATCATTTCATGACGAAGAGAATAACTATTACGAGTCTACAACATTACATTCATAAAAATGGGGAAGTGCAACAAGATCTTGGATGTGGTGCAAGTTTGGGTTACCGTTAAAAGTTGATTCCTTTCCTGGACTTTCGAGGTTTAGGCCCAAGAGATCTATAACTGCATCAGATAATCATCCTAAAATAACCCAAAAATTAGCAAAAATGCAGAAGGGCTGATAATACTAGGAATGGATCCCCTCCTATGTCAGTTGCGGACCGGGCAACACCCACCAGGCCCGATAGTGCTTATTATTCAATGTGATTCGCAACCAATTTGATACCAATGCTTAGCCAAAGTGGTAAAGTGCTTTGATTCCCTTAACCAAGGTTTTGTGTTCCAGTTTCGTGAATGGAAAGAGTAATGTTGGGAGAGATTTCTCTCTGAACGGAGACTGATCCGAATCAGTGCGGATTAGTCTGAGTGCAATGCACTTAGGACACTATGCGCAATATGGAAAAGAAAAAAAAAAAAACCAATTTGATTAAGGTTTTGATGATGATATAAGAAGCATTGAAATTCTGCATCATGTCGTTGTTGTGATGTAATCATAAAAATTTGTCACAATTTTATACGTAATATCATTTCGTTTGTTTTCAAAGAAGAGCCATTTGTTAGATTTGAGCGAGTTAACTTTCATTTTGAGAATGAGAAATTGTAAAAACAACTGTTGTGTTGTTCTAAGTATTAAAAAATGAGCCAAAAGTGTAATCATAACTAACGTAATATTAATGTTTATCATAGACTCTAATTCCCTAATTAGTTTTTCAAAGGTATGGTTATCTTACAGTAAGTTTACCTCCGGCATCTTCAACCTAAGTTTAAGAGCAACCGTAATGGTTTCACACAAATTGATTTCTTAGATGGCCCCAATACTAACCAAATCATCAGTTACAATTACCTAAATTTTATTATTTTTTCTTCTGCGCAATGATATTACTGAATTGAAGAGAGAAATTTGACTTACTTTTGCATTTTTTGCAATTTTTTAATATAAAGAGGCCGATTGGCCAACTTTCATTACCTTTTTCTGAACAAAAGAGAAGTAAAAATAGAAGGGCTGTTAGTTTACATATATACGCTCTCCAATGGGCAAGAGGGAAAGTGGGAGTAATTGGCTCATAATTCAATGCCAATTACCCAGCAATGTGGTTGCGTTAAGTTATATCGTTCTACTTTTAAAATGAAATATGAAACTTAATACACCGTAAAGTTCATATGATGAAAAGAGATTGTTTGAATTTCTTATACTTATTGGGCCTAGCATTGAGTAGATTAACTATTCTCCCTATCAATATCTCCAATTCAAGATAGGGTCTATTAGGCACTGATAGGGTCAGGCTATTGTTCCCTTAAATTTTTATTTTATTATTATTATTATTATTATTATTATTATTATTATTATTATTATTATTATTATTATTGCATATTGCAGGGTGTTAATCGTCAACAACAGTAACTAATCCCCTTAAATTAAATTTATGGGGTAAGATATTCTCAATTAAGATCCTCGTTCTTTTGATTCAATGACGGGTTCCCTTTGGAAAACATTACCCCATCCCATCCAAAAGAAGTGTAGTTTTAGTAAAAGAAAAAAAAAAAAATCCAAATATAATGTTGTTTTGTAATTTCAATGCAATGTTTGTTCTAATTTTCCAAAGTACCCTCAAAACAAAATGAGGTAAGTTGAAGATAATCTAAGTAAGTAAATTATCATATTTAAGAGTTTCTTAAATTGTATGTATATTAATTAAAAATATTTATTTTAGAATAGAGAAAATCTTATTTCTGCCACAAACAATACTCCACTTTATTTTATTGTTTCAACTGAATAAAGTGGATCATTTTACGGGAAGAGAGTATTATAATGGTACTTAGGACTTCTTGAAACAAGTTGGCACCACAAAACTAACGTAGTACGTTGTTTTGGTATATTACTCACATAGTATCCGAACCAAAATTATTGTTCACACTAATATATTACTTATTAGTTACTACCTCCGTCTTACAAAAATAGTCCACATTGAGTTTTAAATTTTGTACTATTTTTAATACAAATTTGAAAACTCAATATGAACTATTTTTTTGGGACGGAGGTAGTATTAGATAACCAACTTCAATAGTCTGTGGTACGCGACAACACCGGATATGATGAAAAATTTCAATAGCTTTCAATTTAGTGCGATTTGGCTTGTTGTAAAATACGTTACATAATTCACTTGCTACTTTGCGAGTACTTGAGGCCGTATATAATATAGCCCTCTTACCACAGTTTTGAATTTGCTCTTGATTATTCGGCGTTAAATGTCAATTTTTTGGCAAAGGCCGAACCTACTTTATTTAAATTTCTATTATTAATTTACTCTTCGTTGATAAAGTGATACCGCTATTTAAATTTTACTAGAGATCTAAAGCTAGACTTAATGCTCTGCTGATTCCCACACAACCGGATATGCTAAATAAAGAGTATATGGTTAAGGTAAAGATAAAGCACTGTCTGTGCAGTTTGCGGCAGCTGCAGGAGTGATGATTTGAGGCCGAATTCTAGTTTTTTAGTGGCGGCGATTCTTTGAAAGAGATGGCTTATAATTGAATCACTATTTCTTTTGCACGCCAGCTTAATTTCATTTGCTTTTGGGTCGTATCATATAGCTACAATCTATCCAATTGTAGTAAAAGGTAAGATAAACATCAGGCCTGGCCAATTATCCAATTATTAAGAGCGAATAAAACAGACTAACAGAGCAAAAACGTGCTTGCTTTATCCTTCTATAGTCTATGCTGATTGATTCAAAGTCTGGTAATGAGAGCACAGTTATGAAAGAACAGATACTGCAAACTGTACATTATTAGGCAATTGCAGAAATGTACAGTCTGCAGTTGCCTAATACCAGGGACGATAAGGGATCCAAACTTGGAATTGTTTGTTTTATTTTTTTCGGTGTTTTGATAATGCAAGCAAATTACAATAAGATAAGGTTAAACCACTTTGGCTTTAAGATAGTTAAGCGGCAAGATCAAGAGCCGACTAGATCAATGGAGAAGAAAAATGAGGTAATCGTCTGTGTCCTGAACTTGATCTATCTCATTTTTAGGTTTTTTACCATTTCGTTTTTTTTTTTTTTTTTCATAATTGTTGAGTGTTCACCGTCGGCAACAGTAACTAATCCCCCTCGCTGAATTGTAGATACCTCAATTGGAGGGACAGCTGACCAAAATATTTAAAGTTACTCCATACACATGATGAAGTTCGAACTCTCAACCTATAGTTAAGGGTGAAGGAGTTCCTTCTACTCCACTACAATCACTTTGGTTAGATCAAGTTTCTTTTGCATTTAAGGGACGAAGATGCAGGGTAAAAGAGAGGATAATTAGTTTCGTAGTCTTCCTCCTTTTCTTTCAAATGAAGAATCAAGGGAAGAGGTCCCATTAAAATCACAATCACAACAATTATGAAGAAAGGTCAATTGTTTTTGCCATGATAAGAAAGGAAAACAAGCTAAACCAGAAACCAAACACAGAAAGAAGTGGTTAATCTATCAACATAATGTCTCTATTAGAAAGTTCACATACAACAAAAAACCTCCAGATTTTTCTCCCATGACATTTTCCCATCAGACAAAACTATACTTCCTTTATTCTCTTGCCGCACTGAAATCAGAAACCTATTCTCTGCCTCAAAGCTTTTTGTTCATCATTATTTTCATCTAACATCTTATCAGTAAAATATCATCAAGATACTGTTAGTAGTATTACTATGTTCTTGATATGTACAGTTGGATATTTTGATAAACCTTAATTAAAGTAAGTTAAAAGGCTTCAACCATTGTTGCCGGAGACAGGGGAGCTCTCTGCTCACCGTCGTCCTCCTCGTCTTCTTCTTCATCTTCAGCTTCCCACATGAAATGTGCATATGATCCCAACACCATGCAATCCTCCGGTGAAGCTTCCACCGCTTGATCTAAGTACGATTTGGCTCTCAGGGAATCTCTTTCAGTCTCCCATATCAACTTGCCGTATAAAGACAAGACCTCCCCGTCTCCAGGGCTGGCCAAAATTGCCCTTCCGTAATACTCCTGCGCTCTAACCATGTCTCTCTCAACCTTCAGATCCACCGGAAAAGTTAATTAGACCAAAAGCTCAAATTTTTATTGAATCGGATTGGGAATTAGCGAAAATAAAGTGAACCCATTATTAGAATTGATTCATTGGATAGCTTACCTCGTGCAAGTATTTGCCGTAGTTTCTGAGAAGCAGGGGATTATTGGGGTCGGACTTCAACATTTCCAAGTAATACGCCCCAATTCTTCTCCGATCAGCAAAGTCGCCGGCGCTGTACTGATCGTCTCCACTCCCACCGCCGGAGTTCCAGTTCCTACCGAACCCACCTCCAGAAAATCCCAGCTCCTCAATCGGAATGGCGCCCTGCGAACAATCTCCTCCGGGGAATCCTGACCAGCTCTGAGGTTTCTCCGCCAAGGTCAACGATCCAATACTAACAACCTCCTCCGCCTCCTCCTCCGGGACCCGGGAAATAAAAGACCGCGATCCGAATTTTCTCAACGGCTTCGATCCTTCAGCGTATGCCGATCGAATGATATCGGGCTCTGAAGAAGCCCGACGGATACTCCGGCGATTGAATTCCACCTGAAGCGAAATGCTCGACGAAGAACACACCCTCTTTTTCTCAAACCCGCCGGATTCTTGAACCGGCAGTGAAACTGACATCTTAGGTGAATTCGAAGCCGCCCAGTTACCGGCCGGAATTGTGCCGGAACCGGATCTCAAGATTACAGCTTTCATAGTCAACGGAAGAAAAGTATTTGATTTCTCTTACAAAGCTCTTACGCATTGATTTAATTAATTGAGCAATGAATTCCGGTTGGCTATATGACTTTATTATTTATAGACCAGAAGCGAGAAACGTGCGCCGTCGGATTCCGTAGATGAATTGACTTGTAAAGCGCCGAGATGATGACACGCGTCCCAGTGCACGTGAGACTTGAAGAGTGAAACTGTGAGAGAGAGAGAGAGCCTGCGGCGGGGCCAAGGGTGGGGTCCGTCGTGGGGAAGTGTGATTTTGTTGGGAAAGTGAGGAGGACTGTGGAGTGGACTGAAGGAGGTTGGTCCACGTGTCACGACAAATGCTTGAGCTCGTGGCGTTCCGCGCCACGTGGAATTCAGTGCCCCAGTGGGGCCCCGCACGGGATTGGTTTAAACTGTGGGATCTCCCAGTTTGGGTAACTAGAGGATCTTCATTGATTTTAACAGAGAAAATTGGGAAAAATAAAATTTGGGAATCAGGCTGAAAGCTCTCATGCTTTATTTATGATTGAATATCGAATTCAAAGTAAGTGATGAATCATTGGTTTCGAGTAAATGATAATTGAGTACGTGTTACTAGAAATTTTTAGGAATTTTTCCCATTACAAGCACGACATTTACATGTAAACTTTGAGAAAATGTGGAGGTGAAAAGTATTTGTATAGTTTTGAAAAAGATGATGAATTAGAGTATATAAAGTACTCCTTCCGTTCCACAAAAATAGTACACATTAAGTTTTTAATTTTTTTTATTGTTTTTAGTACAAATTTTAAAAATTTAACGTGGACTATTTTTTTGAAATAGAAATAGTATAAACTTAGCCCTCCTAGGTAACTAGATTATTTCAGCAAAAATAAATCTATAAATGGACCGACCTAGTTCTACAACATTGTCGGTAATTATTGCATCAATCAATTCCAGTTTCGGCTTTGAAATTGTGACTGATAAAACAAGTATCGGCTTTGTTAGTGTTCTTAGGTCTACATTCTACTCTTCCAAGCAAACCAGGAAATCGTAATATGATAATACCAACCTTATTCACAAATATAAAAACTTGTAAACCAATTTTTTTAAAAAAAAAACAAAAATATTGTGATTTTGATTGCTAGATATGTGATGATTCCCAGATTTTGATAATAGTTCATTAATTGAATAATAATAGAATGTTCATCACTTGGATAGATTTTTTAGTTTATTGTTAATCTTTTTTTCTTTTTTCTTTTTTTTTGGTGATGTATAGTTTAGATGGTCTTAATGGTCCTATTAATCTTACAAGATAAGATTGATTGTATAGTTTAGATGGTGTCGTTTCTTTAACATGGTGATGTTACAAATTTGTTCCATCCTTTCAAATAATTCTTAATTTTGAGTTAAAAGACAGAATTTACCTATATAATATTATATCACCAAAAGCAATGGATGAAGTCGATGGTGATATAATGATGTAATTACCTTGGCTAATCTTTTTTTTTCCCCCTAATCGTTTGACAATGATGTTCGTGCTTGTTCCATCGAGATAAGGTTGGCATGCACTATGTTAAACTTTTTTTCTTTTCTTATGTTACAACTTTCTAACTACAAAGTCTATTATATATTACCAAGTCTATTTTTAAAAAATAAATTAAAAAAAATGATTAAGCCTTTTATACTTGAAAATCCTTTTAAAATCTCCCTAGACGATATACATATACATGTAGATCAAAAAATAAACTTGCATTTATTATAAAATAAATATAAACTACAGAAGAACAAGAACTATGAGAGAGAAAGAGAAAATTCAGGTACATCTTATTTAATAGGGACTGATCTCTATTTTTCAGCAAGTAGAAACAGAGATAAGATGAACGAATATGAGTTCTAACAAAATATTATCTGTATTAAGAATCCTAGTCCCACATTGGTATTGGAAGAGACTAGATATCAGTGTATAACCTTCATGGGCTACTCCCCTCATAACCAATTGATTTTGAAGCGGAACCCTATCTTAAGGACATCCACATTATTAAAATATTTATAACAACATTATCCAAACAAGAACTACAATCTTGCCATTCCATGATTGGAATAAAATATTAGTATGTGTGAAGTTAATTAATTAATTACCTCTTATAAATAGGAATGGAGATAGTACAATGTTTCTAAATTATGAATGCAATAATTTAAAATTTTATGGTATCAATCTATGTTTCAACTTCAAAATGATTATTTTATACAATCAAATAGTATAATAAAACATCAACAATCATCCGACGGAATGTATACTATTCCAGAAATCCATTTACCTACAGTTTATGGAAGTAATAAAAACCGCGACAATTGAAGAAATGATAATGGAAGATGCGAGGGGGATAATGATGTCTCAAAGATGAATGGAAATGGAGAGTTTGATTGAAGAAGCTCCAAGAAGCAATTTTTAACATATTGTATTTGCTGGTTGATCCTCATTCGTCTGTAATTTTGTTCCACAACAATAATTGTACGCGCACTCTATGGCTGGCCGCAATACCCTTATTTATTTTATCCCCATGTGAATCACATCTTCATCTTTCATTCAAACTATTTCCAAAGTCTTCTTTTAATTTTCCTTGAACCCTCTTTTTTAGGAAGAAAAAAAAAAGAAAAAAAATTGTTAACTAAAAATATTCAGTCCAATGTACTCCAATAATTATACTGATTATACTATATGAAAATCATTTTGAGGAAGAGAAAATATTAGAAAAGACATATTGTTATGCATGAATAGATCCAATATTAGGATGTCCATATATATGAATGATTTAAAAATAAAACAATGAAGTAATATATATATATATATATATACACGTCACCATTTTATTATTATAAATATATTATTATATGTTGCTGTTTCATTATAAATAATTTATTTTATTAATTATTGTAACTATTTTTAAGGAAAAAGAAGATGATGATAAGAAAAAGAATTCAAGGTCGTCACATGCATGTACGGTGAAAGGCAAAGTCTAAAATTGTAAGTGGAATTTATTTTACATCAACGATACTAATTTGAACTGATCGGAAGCTATTAATGAATGTTCACATGCTATTTCAGTTCCTGGGAATGATAAAATTTTAATTAAGGACCACGATGAACAGATTTTTTTTTTTTTTTTTGTAAAAATGGTTGAACTGGAAAATAAATCAATTCCAAGGTCTTTTTTCTTTCTTTTTCCCCTTAAACCAACGAAACAGGCTTAGTTCGATTAAAGAATTCAATATAGGTGTGGACAGGCATAATCTCAAAATAATACTCCCCGTGTCCCAAAATTATTGTCCAGTTTGAGATTTCACTTTTAGTACAATTTGAACTAAAAATGAAAACCCAAACTGAACAATAATTATGGGACGAAGGGAGTACTATATTTGAGTCCATTTGATCACGCGTTCTAATTCATATAGTATTTCAAAAAAAAAAAAAAATTCCATTTTGAGGAAAGAAAACCCAGGAAATTATAACCCATATGAATGGAAAACTAAAACCATTGATATAATCAGCCAACAGCCTACAATTAATCCCACAGAAAACACAAAAACCGCTTGCTGCCTGCGACTTCACACAATGCCTTTGGTTTTTCCATATTTGTGTGTGGAAAGCTACCACTTGTTTGACTAACATGCATGTTGTTAGACTCAATTCTTGCGACAACCGCTCGCTTATATTTTTGGCTCTCATTTTTTCCTTTTTGCTTTTTTTTTTTTAAAAAAAAATGACAAGTTATGTCTAACGTGAACAACAATACTTCTTCCGTCCCAAAATTATTATCTAATTTAGATTTTCATTTTTAGTTCAATTTGAATATATTGGACCGCATTCAAATTATACTGGACATATTCTAATTTGAACAACAATGTAAAATATACTGGACCGTATTTGAATTCTTGAATACTGAACTACCTAATAGAGAGGGGAAAAAAACGCTATTAGAAATTGAGAAAAATTATTCTTGAGTTGTTTGCATTTTAGTAGGTGAAACAATCAGTTAAAAAAAAGTTTTAGGACGATTTTACGTCGTAGACGGAGTTCAAACACCCGACTTTGATTATTTGTCCTCCCCTCTCTGGAGTCTGGAAAGCAACATTGGGTGTTTTGGCTGGTTGCTTTGAACGATGAAAGAATGAGCGAAGAATCGCTTTCCAAGACAGTAGGGGATGAACAAGATCCTCACATTACGATTCATCCCCCCGCCCCATGCCCGGCCAGCCCCCCTTTCCCCTAATTTCCCAAATGCATATATTCGTTTTTGCTACTAGTTCATTTCTTTGCCGTCTTTTGGCGTTTTGGCCCTCCACCCATACCGTGTGCCCCCGTTTTGGTTTCTTCATCCATGCTCAAAACCCCCCAAAGTTCCAATCACCTTCCCCTCTCTCGAATGCATGAATTGATGGGCGTCCGTGTTCCTTCCACGGGTGACAATTTTGTGTGACCTATCGATGTTGGGGTAAGACACGGATGTAAGTCAAAATTATAATCTTTCTGTTCCAAAACGATTATTCATTTTGTGCTTTCACATTTAGAACAGTTTTTATCAAAAATAAAAAATCTAAACTACAAACGGTTAGTAATGGACACAATAAGAACTTATTTATTTTGTGGCTAGAGTAAACACAATGTGAAAATTTAAAATTTATGCAACTAGGTGTTTAATTAAGTTTCGATAAACCAATGATTATTTTATAATGTGGTTAAGTCTATAAAATTTGTTCAGTCAGCGACAGAGGGTTTTGATGGGTTTTTGCTAGGTCAAATGATAGAGAACACCGTTGAGCGTTTTTTTTTTTTTGTAAATTATTAATAATGAGGACATAGCAAATATTCACATGTGGAAATTATCCAGTTTAATCCTTAATAAATAGGCTTGATAAAGAAAGAAAAAGCAGAGGAAAGAAAAAACAAAAAAACGTAGTAAAAGTTGAGACAGGTGGGTGTTGAATGGGACCGACTCCCACGTGACTGCCTTGTGAAAGGTTCGCTTAATATCCTACGTGGAGCCGCACCAATTACTTGGGGCTTCTTATCTCACGTGGCCTCTATTTTGGCGTGTTTGCCACGTCACATTTACCTTCTCCTCTCCTTTCACCCTTTGCATCGTTTTTAAAGAAAAAAACTGGTGTCTTTTCGTTTCCAATATTTGATCTTAATTCAAATTGTACTAAAACTGAAATTTCAAACTGGACAATAATTTTGACTGAGCGAGTACTAAAATATTAAGCCTTAAATTTTAAAAATTATTCTTTATCTTACAAAATAATTATTCTTTTAATGCTACAAATAATACAGTTACTCTGAATCAAAAACACATTAAAAAGGATTGGAAACAACGATGAACATTTTTATTCACATCGATTATCATCCTTTGCATTCTTGATTCTATAACACCATTGGCTAAAGAGAATATGTATATATGAAAAATATACTTCCTCCGTCTCATAATTATTGTCCAGTTTGAATTCTCATTTCTAGTTCAAATTGTATTAAAATTGAAATTTCAAATTGAATAATAATTTTGGGAGGAGGGAGTAATTTTCTAGACATCAAAATGTGAAAGGATCCTTATTTACTTGTCTGAAACTAAGAAGACTGGTTTTATTATAACTAGTATAACACTAGGGGACTGAAATTGTCGCACTACTTGAGGATTAACTTTGAGCCAGAGTTTCAACATATTTGAGGATCAAACTACTGCATTTAAGCACAATCGTTTCACTTTTTAACCAGCACGATAACATTGAACCTAAATTTTTAAGGCATCAGATTCCGCAACAGAAAGTATATCAGTTTAATTAGGCAGGTGTTTTGTTAAGGTGAAACCATACAGCCCTATCTAAGATTTAGAAAGTTGCTAAAAAAACATTTAGGGCCTAATTGGTTGCTATGGAAAGTAGCAAAGAAAGTATTCCTTAGATGTACAATTATACTCTACTTGTTCTTACCTTAAATTTGGAACCCAAATCCAGCAGTCTAAGAATTCACCGTTGCAGACTTAAATGCACCCAAAACCACCTCCCATATGCAAGTATGGAACTGCTCTTATGAAAATAAACCAGTAAACCGAATAAAGAGCTGGTTCTGTAATTCTGCTTACTTCAGTATGGGACAACTATAACAAGGTAGATTCCTGAAGAAACTAGCAGTTGCTACGAAATTTGAAACCTCAGTACAACATCAAAAGTATTCTTCAGTGATAAAGCTAAACAAGCTCTTCGTTTAGGACAAGAAGATTACCAGCATTGTCTCATTATGGACCCAATATTTGCCAAAATGCTCTGCAACAGCAACAACTAACTAAATCTGGTCAAAATATGGATCTTGTGTGTCCATCGTACTTTGCCAAAACACATTCTCATTCAAATTTCCATAAATCTCGTCTTTCTTTGTAGATCTTTTCCGTCCCCTTTTAATTTGAGATAATATATTACAACTGATTAGTAAAATCATCAATTAGTTGGCGAAACTAATACAGAAGCATAAACAAAACAACCTACATTTGATTGCATGCTCCGCTTATTGCTTAATGAATAAGGAAGAGAAATTGGGCTATTACCTAATACAACCCCTGATCTAACTAAGCCCCCACAAAACAGAACTTTTTGGATCATAACAGGATAAAAGAGACTCTGAAAGGCTGCCAGGAACTGAGGATCAAGAAGTTCAACTCCTAAGCAAAGAGAATACCGTTTCCTCATTGCCAAATAGGCAAATAGTATTCAGGAACACCTAAAAATCAGAATATATTCCGTTTTGATACTAGTATTATTTTAACAGAAAAAATGTTAAAAGATAAACAACAATATGCACACCTATGTTAACGCTCACTGATCCTTTTTAGTCTTCGATGCGAAAGATTTGGGTTGCTGATCCAAACTGGAAAATCGTATAATAAAAAGAAGTGTTTCGACGAGCATACCAACAACCAAACCAAGGATGCCTCCAGCAGCACTCTGATAACAAAATAAAAGTTAGATTATAGCTTGGTTAGGGGGAAAATAAAAGAAAGGAGAGAGCAAAGGGGGTCAGAACTTTAAACGAAATGATTCAATAGCCTGAAATCCAAATATATAGTTTGGTCAACTACTCCTCTTAAAATCAGGAGGTTACCATCGCAACGTTGTGGCTGAACAGGGCTCTAAATGCAGCATATCCTACCAAATAGCCGGTGAACATAGTAACAACAACATGCAAACCTGTGATCAAAAGTAAAGGAAATTATGAGTCATCAGGGAAAAACACCCACGAAAACAAAACAAAAGAACACTACATTCATTTTAAAAATACATCAATGACGAGCTCAAGATGGAGGCTAATAAATACATCCTCGAAGGGACGGGTGCATTAAAGCAATAGAACCAGAGATGTCCAAAAGAACAAACTTGTAGACATTGCATACATCCACTAAATAAGTTCAAAAGTGAGAGGCATTTCTTCCGTGAACTACATGATGTAAACAATTTAAAGAATATTAGTCACTTTTACCCAACTGTAGTCTCTTTCTGAAAGTAGTAAGTTGGTCGCATGACAAAAGCAACTAAACAGTATCTATCTTTATCACCGAAAACAGGGTTATAATGTTTAGTATAATCTTCATGAGCTGCCTGACATAAACTTTTCCAATTTGCTCTGAATGGTCGAATCACTTTCCTTCACCACATGCGTGCAGGCTAACTTGATTGTTTTGTTCCTCTCCGTTAGGAGGTGAAAATAGAAGGTGCTTCAACTAGATCAAAAGTTGCTTCATAACTCTTTCTTTCCCCATTCACCATTGAGTCGCTGGCATCTTCTATCCTTTAAATATATCTCATACAAGTCCTATTTCATGCGTCAAGGATTTGAATCTTTTAAAAACTCGTTAAATATCCCCCCACAACCATCAGAATTCAAATGAAGCAACTAAAAAATTAAAAACAAGAAAAATTTCCTGAAAAAGAAACTACAACTCAAAGCAGAGTTCATACTTAATCGTCCTTTCCAATTAATTAGCCATAACCACCCAAGAACAGATAGAATACTTCTAGAAGATTTCTTGAAAGTGATTGGTACTAGGATGTAGCACTCTAGTAAAGATAGCTCTGACCATACAAAATCATACGTAGTAACTCTTTGAAACTTACATAAAACAAAGTTTTCTTGATGTAATGTACATTTCTCAAGGATTTCTGCCAACAGCTTTTCAGTGTCATGGCAAAATAATAGAAATGTGGTAATGTTTATAATTTATGCGTTATAAAACATACAACTATATTGTAAGATACAACTGTCCCTTGTTTTATCAGAACTGAACACCTCGTATTATCACAAACTGACTCAACAATAAAATGACACAACGCATCGTGTAAAGGATTAGTGCTTTGTAGAGACATAGAATCGTGCAAAAAATATCAAAAGAAAAAAAATCAGAACAATCTTACAAATAAAGTCAAGAGAAACTAACCAAATCCTAATTGATCTTTGTACGAAGAGAAAGGATCCTCCATGGACTTCTTGGGAGTAATATCCTTCACCAATTCTGCATATCTTTCTTCTCTGCCACTACCGACAGTTTCTTCAACCTCGCTTTGAGTTCGTCACTCTTCAAGAAAGAAGATAGAAATGGTAACATACTATCATTATTAATGGAAAGGCCGAAAATTGAACAGAAGCTAAAAAAACTTTTAATAAAAAATTTTAACCTTTTCTCTAGGCACAGGACTTGTAAAATGGAAATTGGAACGAGTGAGCAAATTCAGAAGATCAGGCCGAGTTTTCCGGTCAGATTGAATCCAAATAGACTTGAGAGATTTATATGACACAGAGGGGTGCTGGGAAAGGGAGGACGCAAGGTCTCTCACGTCCTTAGAAAGGTCAAGGTTCACAGACAATGCTGTTAAAAATGAGCGGATTGCATCAGTAGTGGATATTGCTAATGCACTGCTGCCAACTTTGTCCATGCCGAGGGTGACTGGAGAAACGTTGGTGTACGAACTAATGTCCTTGCTTTTGCTCATGCATTCGTGCATTTGATCATTCCTATCAGGAAATTCTTCAGTTTCGTTGTTCATCCCTGTCAGTACAAAAGACCAATAAGGTTGTTCATTTAAGCAGTTTCGTGGGTAAATCTGTCTGGAAGCTAATAAATTTATACCTAGAACTGAACCAATTGCATTAAAAATCAAAGTGTTTTTTTTCCAAATTTAGAATTAGATTTGTTTGGGTTTTAGTACAACTCAAAATTAGCTCTCTTTTTCCAAAGAAAATTAGAAAATCTCACGCCCGAATACACTCTAATTATACTATCATATGAATGTTTCCTTTAACTTAGAAAGAAGATGATTTCTCCAGATATCTTTATGAGGGGAATGAAAAGGGACTAAAATATCTCTTTGGAACCCGACTGGACAGTTGAATATTTAACAGGACAAAGTGGACAAAAGTGGTTCTTACAGATTTCTCAAATCCTAACTTTTACTAGTTCCAAACTACACAAAAACTATCCGAAAAACACAAGGACATAATTGTTCTTTTTATTTATCTCGTCCTTGATCCGAGGTGTAAATTTCTCGCGGCTTGTGCTTCCTAGAACCCTTTGGCAAATATTGTTGCAACGGAGTCTTTTGTCGAGGTTGCTACTCTTCCTAAGTGAGATGAGGAGTATCTTGCAGGCTTTGCGACGCTTCCAAAGTTGTGTGCGTTATACTCATCTCACTATTTCATGCGATTATTATTCTTGGCTACTGAAGCCATGCAGTAGTGTGCGTTGTGCCATTTCACAATTTCATGCAACCCATGCTCTTTCAGCGACACGCATCCTCCAAAGACACAGAGGAGAGCCATCATCATTTGGTTGATCTAATGTCTTACATCGCACAGCCCATGTCGTAGGCTTACTTGCGATAACCCTAAACTCCCTTTTGTGGTGGATGTTCCACAACCTCACAGCGATTTTCGCTTCTCTTTGGGACTTGAAACAAACGCCAAGGCCCATACCTGCAACAGTCTCGTCCCAAATACGAACCGCGAATTCATCTTTGTCAATACACGATGAATCCCATTTACCCATTTTTGTATATATATGACGCCGAGGTAATGGATTTAAGTATCTTTCTTCATTTTCGAATGATTCATCATCATCGCTTTCCTCGCTCTCTGAAAAGATCTCACCTCCCTTGCTCTTGGTTGGAGCTATGTAGTCTTCATAGTCATCCTCCATGTTCTCCTCCTATGCAAATCTACTTGTCCCCTCTATTTCTTTATTCCGAGAACTACTACTACGTTGTCGGCTTGGACCACCACCATGCATATTGTTTATAAATCTACTTGTCCCTTCTTCATAGTTCCGAGAACTACTACCCCGTTTCCGGCTTCCACCACGACCTTGCATCTTGTTCATAAAGCTATTTTCTCTTTCAGAGCGAGAAATATCTTCCAAATCAACATACAAATCCATACAAGAAATGGAATCGAGAAAGTATATGATTTTTACATTTGAATCGTTCGTGATCCTGGTAACACGCCTACCACCGTGACTATCAAAAATCAATGAAAGGACCGGCTTCACAAGTTCGTGATCCCAACCAACTTTCTCACAAATCCTACCAAGCAATTCGTCGTATGACAACCTGCACTCTACGAACAGGGTGTCGTCCGGCACGTTCGTAAATGTATTCACACAATTATTCTCCATCGCATACTTACTTGACCAAAACAAATTTAGTATGTATGGTCCATTGAATGTCATTTTGTAACCGTGAAATTAAAAACAACAACGCTTGCTTAAACATTTTCTTAAATAAAACAAGCCACATTGCTTAACAATATAATTATAATAAAATATCTGTTTGTTTCTAGTAATATTCATCATATTACTAGATGACATTCCATAACATACTCACTAAGTCCTATATCACATAACACGCTACAATAATCTTTCATATTTGAGGTAAAATATCATGAACAATGTTATATTGTCACAGAAAACCTAAGAATCAACCACTATATCATGCATACATTGTTCTAACTTACCAAAAATCAAATACACTAAAACAAACTTCCATATATCGTACAACATAGTGAACAACATCAAATTGTCACATATAACCTCAAAATCAATAACTAAACTGTGTACATTTCATTCAAACTTCCCAAAAACTAAAATCTAAAACTTAAAACCACTAATCTCATGCAAACAACACTAAAACCACAAAAAAATCAACAGAATAATATTGAATTAGTGACTGGCCTCTTTGGAATAAGGATTCTTAACACATATAGTGATACTCTACGAACAAGAACTCCAAATCACCTTCAAAAGCTGTCCAAAACCTCGAAGACCTCAACTTCCCGATCTAGAATAGTTGCTACCTTTTTTTCCTTTTATATCCCGTCGCTAAAGGATTACACAAATCCAGAAGAGTAAGTGACCTCGGATTAGGCAAATCTGGAAGAAGCTAATCTCGAATTTCCAAAATTCGTTTTTCGGTCCTCCAATTTATGAGGAACGCCAACCTTCACCAACCAAAATTAAATAATTACGGATTTACAATATCCAAATTTACGTAAGATAACATCATTCAGGTTTTCCAAATTCGATATTTGCTTATATGACGTTTCGGATTTCGAAAATCCGTAATTTGGATTCAAGTATTTCCCGCCGTTACTCGTTGGTTTTTCTGAATAAATTATTTCGGATTTGAAAAATCCGAGTTTACTATTCATATTTTCACTATTTTCATTTTCTTTATAAATGAATTTTCCCCAATATTTTAATATATTTTGTTGTGTCGGATTTCCGAAATCCGAATATTTAATTAAAATTAGCGTTTTGGATATGGCAAATCTGATAGAATTAGTTATGTCTCACCGTAACACGTCCACATTTATTTAAATTATTATTATTTTTTGAATCTAGTAAACACATTCTTCAGCAGAAAAATCTTTCCAATAAATCTAAAAGTTTTCTAGTTCCATAAGCATACAAAAACTAATAATCGAGCAATTTAGAAACAACAATAAAACATCACAGAATGAATATGTATTATCTTCTAGAAACTCATTAACAGGGCAAAGATTAAAATCATACCAAGAAAACTAACTAGGATCACAAGATTTGAAAGGGAAAAAATGGGTGGCGACAAGGTAAAGCAATCCATACTAAACAAGCTTCTCATCAGGTAAGAATTATAAAACGCTTGGGGCAAAAAGCAATATCAGATTGAATTCATTCATGCAATGAACCCATATTCGGAAATCTTCACAATAGTCTAGGTTTGTCTTGCCGCCAAACAAAAAGAAACGTCAATGACAACAACATACCCAGTATAGTTGGGTTCTAAGGTCAAGATGTATGTAGCCTTACCCCTATATTTCAATACATAGAGGTTATTTAAGTAGTACGACCCAAGATGCATTGGTGCATTAATGTATTGATTTCTGGCAACTTCACCAAAATTAAGAAGCATCGGAATTTAAATGGCCATTTTGATCTAATCCATTATTAGCACAAAACTGAAAGAATTGTCAAACTAAAATAAAAATAAAAAAAAGACAAGAAATCAAACTGAAATACATTCACCAATGAGAACAAAGAAATCCAGAATAACATACAGGAACAGTAAAAAATCAGGAGGATTCTAAGTCTAAACAGAACCACCAAATTAGGATCAGCCTCCCAACATTCGTGGTTGTCTGACCAATTAGGTTCATATTTTAACGTTTCAAAGTAGTTTGATTCACATGTAAAAATATAAATCACCTAACAGGTTGAAATGATCTGATCATTCAGACAATACTAGGTAGAATGAATGAACTGCACAATATGTGGTGCGAGCTAGATGTTAGCTCAATCAAATAGAGGGAATCATTTCAGTTTGTCAAATATCCTGGAAATAATTGATAGCACAGTGAAGAATTCAAACAAAGAGCACATCTAAAGCTGCTTCTCAAATGCAATAAAGGTGTTCCCTCAAAGTCAGAACACGATTGTGTGCTTGAAACAATGGACTTCCAGTTCAACTTATTAAATGCATGAAGCTCTCTCCACTACAAGGTCAAGACATGTTCGAATAGTGCTGCTTTAAGACAATATTCATTTATATCTGCTGCATGGAAGAAGTATGGGGAGAATTATTCTTCCTTTAACAATTAAGAGACTGGAATCGTCCATAGCTACCACAATCAAGAACCCATCACCAAAATCCTACTTTGAATCATGAAAAACAAAAGAAAAATTGGAAACATAACTAAGATCATAATTTGACATGCCATCCTTGTAAATATGTTTAGAAGGGGAACCACAATCTAAAACCTAAACCCTAGGGATATGAATATAATACGAGAACGCGAAATTGCGAAAAAAGAAAATTAAAAATGCACCCAAGAAATACCCCTTCATAAAGAACTATCCTCACACTACTTTATCCAATCTGAAAACCCCAAGAACGGGAAACTAATTCTTTGTTACTAGAATTATGATTTACAATAACCACTAAAGAATTAAACAGGACTGCAGATCAAATGAACAGAGCCCTAGAAGCATTGCACCCAAAACCCTTAAGGAAGAAGTACTTGTAAGGACAAACAAGGGAATCATGAATCAAGTTCTATAAAAATCAACCATCTTTCAAAAAAATAAAGACTAAATCACTGGGCATCCAACCATGAAAAGTGAACTACATTATAAAGGGTCCAATCGGAAAGTATAATAACATTTTTAAAAAGAAATAGAAAAGGATCCAACAAAATATTCGTTAAACCAACCTATTAAACAGCAGGTTAGCATCAGTCTACGTATTTACATCTTTATCATATGCAACGTCCAAATGTTTGAATCTAATTACAATGCCTGGTCTGACTACTACAGGATTACAAAAGCCTTTGATTAGTGATTCAGCCGATTGAATATATATCTATAACCTTTAAAAGCCTACTTGTGTCTTAACTCAATTCCACAGCATCTAATGTACGGTTGAAAGCTCAAATTCAACATAAGAATAAATTAAACACACATCGCCATCACAACTTCCACAACGCACAAGCAATCGAAAGGGGTAAAGAAATCAAGAAA